CCTTGGAAGATTTCTTGGATTTGAAGAATTGGGCTTAAAAACATTTGTATTCGGATTCTTTGTTTGTTGGTTGCCAAAGACTTCAGCGTTAGTCGGGAAACGCTGATTTAAGTTTGGCCTAGGTTGAATTTGGATGGGTTGAGATGGGAATTGCGTACGGAAAAAGCTATTAGGCGTACGAGAATTAAAATTTTGATAAGGCATATTAACTGGGCGTGCAGGTCTGAACTGCGAATTTTGAAAATTTGTAAAATTCTGTGAATCTGTCTTAACTCTATATGAAACGTTTTGGAAATAATGCACATTTTGTTCTTCAATCACTAATTGAAGAGCTTCGCTCAAGGAGGTTGGTTTCATGCACCTGACAGTGGTGCCCAATGGTTCTTTCAAGCCTGAAAGGAAAGTCTTTAACGCAAGTTTTTGATACAAATCGCGTTTTATTGCTTTACCACTTTCGGTAGCTTCGTGGATATTAACGTAGCTACACAGATTGTTTAAAATATGCAAACATCTTTCGTGAAATTTTTGAGGGCTCTCATTTTGATATTGCTTTAGTAAGCAAAGGTCTCTATGTAAGCACACTTCATCACGTTGGTCAGAAAAACTAGTAACTAATAAAGTTTCGAGTTCACTCCAGGTGTTCACTGAATGAATGTTTATTAAAGATTTGGCATGTCCTCTCAGCTTTGAAAGAATGGAGTTCAATAAAAATGTATTCTGAAAATTGTTTGGATTGGAATGATCATAAAAATTGTCAATCAAGGATTTGCTTACACGCAAAAATCGATTGAGATCGTTACTGTTGCCGTCAAATTCGGGCACACAACTTAAGTATTCGGGCCTAAAAGTAGCCATAGTTGGAGTAATACTTGTAGGTATTGAATGTACAGGGACTTGTGAAAGTATGGGCTCACGTAGTATATTAAAGTACCGTCGAGTATTTGGAGAGTCAGTATTAAGGTCCAAATTCTCAAGGGCTTGCGATATATCAATACTCATTGAAATTTGAAGCGATAAATGGAAAAAAATAAACTGCACTTACAACACTAAGAAAGCGATCTTTAGCATCTCTTACTCCTATAAAGATCCTAGCTGGTTCTGCAATGTTGTCTTCCCCAGGCTGGAATCCTTGCGAACTTGGGCAATGTGGTCCCAAATTCCGATGCCCTTCGTATGTAGCTGTTCACGCCGGTTCCCCGATGGATTGGGTATCCAAAAATATGAATTCACTCCAGTGCTCACTGCCACTACACGAATGCCACCAAGTCCAAAAAGGCCGGATAGAGTCCCGAAAAGTCCCGTCGCGACGGTTTGCGAAAGTCTTTCCCGGGTCGCGTATTTCTGATCCTACTGGATTGACTGCGCCAGTTATAAGATCGATGCTTCGAGATCGCTTTTTAAAAAGTTTATTTTTCGAAAATACAAAACTCAAATCTGTACTTTTACAAAATTATTACAATGTTATTATGATGTTAACAGTACAAAGGCTTAAATCTGACTGACTGTAAAATGTGTTGAGAACAATAAAGTAAACTCTAGGTCTTCTAGGAAATTAGTAGCATCGTCGGCAGTATTCCTATCATATCAGCAGGAACGGCTGATATAACTCATGACGCTGAACATTCAACAAACTACGATATGAATATTTGTTGTTTGCGCAGTATCTACAAGAAGATTGTGCTATTGAGCAGTTTTGTAATGATATGATTAATTATAACCTTAGATCATTTCTGTGTGAGATTGCAAGATATTTACCTCCGGAAATTATCCTCAAATATAACCTCGTGTATGAGGATTGAACACTATCTATTTAGTTTACTATAGGATTATACAATGCATTCTTATTAAATAAATACCTGACATATTGAGTTGTTGTTATTTCATTGAAGAACATCAACGCATGATAAATACATGAATAAATTATATTGTAATGCCTTAAAAATTTTCCATCAACTGAGTGAAGGCGGTCAAAGAAATGTTAAGTTTCCGACAGATGTCTGCAGCCTTCTTGAAATTTTCAAATTTCACATTAAATATAACGATAGCTGAAGATACACAACGTACAAATTGTATATACTAACAATGATAGCTGCTATAAATTCGAATTGAGAATTGCCAAAAACCTGAATGGGGTGAGGCTTGCCCAATACAATGCCTGTGATAGAAAGTCACTCCTCTGTGATATATATATATATATATATAGCATGACAGGGCAAGTTCGATTGTGCGTTCAGGAATTCTTCTCATAATATGCGTCCGAATATTCGACAACATCCACACAAGACAAAATAGAAATGGCTGCTGAAGAAGCGACTTTTTTATTACACTATTCCCAGAAACTATCTATAAAGAGTGTTTAGTATTTCCGTGTATGTACCTGCTCCTATATACAGGGTGTTCCATAATTATTGCGACAAAATGATAGGGGTTGTAGAGGGCATAAAAATATGCAATTTTGCCTTATAAACCCCTGTTCGTAAATATGCCGTTTCAGCACTACCGCTAATTTTACCTTAAGAGAAACAAAAAATTCAACAGCTGCAAAATGTTCGTCTAGCACATTTCATGGTCTCGCCGATTTGTAAAAAAAAGCCTGCTGTGTTTACATTTTTGTTATCGTAAATTCTCCACACCGATTCATTTAATTTATCTGAGTGGTGCGTCAAACTAGAGGCCAATCCGCGTACAAGCGTGCGTGCTATTGCACATGAAATGGGAGCGTCTCAAACTACTGCTTGGCGGGTTCTCCATGACCAGCAACTACACCCATACCACCTTTTAAAAGTCCAAGCCATGGGTCCAGAAAACTATCTGCCGCGTCGACGTTTTTGTCGTTGGTGGCTGCAGCAGGAGTTGAGGCAACCAAACTTTGGTCGCTACGTTTTGTTCACTGAGGAGTCCTGTTTCACAAAGGACGGTTATTTTAATAGCCGTAACAGTCACATTTGGGATGAAGAAAACCCTCATGCCATAGCCATCCATAGAGACTAACATAGTTTTCAATTAACATCTGGTGCGGCATTGTGGACGAGCATATCATCGGGCCATATTTGCTTCCACCACGTTTGGATGGGCATGCTTATGGTCGATTCTTACAGCATGTGCTACCGGAACTATTAGAAAATGTGCCACTGAACATAAGAGCCAACACGTGGTTTCAACACGATGGCGCTCCAGCCCACTTTTCTTTACAAGTGCGGCAGTATTTGGACGACAAATAGGTGGATAGGCCGAGGTGGCCCTGTGCCTTGGCCTGCGCGGTCACCCGACCTGACCCCACTGGATTATTTTCTCTGGGGCCATCTGAAAGCTTTAGTGTACGAAACTACTGTTCCCAACCAACAAGAGCTACTGGGAAGAGTGATGGCCGCGTCCGCACATGTTCAGGACATACCAGGGGTATGCCACAGAGTTCGCCGATCATTGAACAATCGTGCACAGCTGTGTATTGAGCAAGGTGGAGGACACTTTGAGCAATTACTGTAGGTAAGCTGTTTCAAGAAACTGATCTTTTTTTTTGCTGCATCCCAAACGGCATATTTCCGAACAGGGGTTTATAAGGCAAAATTGTTCATTTTGATGCCCTCTACAACCCCTATCATTTTGTCGCAATAATTATGGAACACCCTGTATAACAGGTGGTACCCCAAGCTGTCATGCTATACAGGGTGACTTCGAAGTTGAGTCATTTATTTTAACAGTGAGTAGATCTGATCAAAAGAAATGTTTTTTTCCTTTACCATTTTTCTGGTAAAATTAAAGTAACAAAGTTATAGCCCTTTGGAAGTTTGAGTACCGCCCTGCCTATTATATGCTCGTGTTTGGCGACAACGGATATAATCCGCTTGACCGGTTCATCGCATCGGAAACAAAAAAGCGAAAGAATTTGAAACGTTTATCACGATGTTTTTCGTCAGTCGATAACGCGTAAGTGAATAGTAGTGTGTTGCGTGGCTCAAACGAAATAAAAAATGGCACATGTTTACGAAAATGCTGAACTTGTGGACATGATTCTTATTTACGGGGGGGGCAGTCTTTACAAAATGCTCCCGGATGCATCACGGATTTATGCGAATCGGTTTCCCAATCGAGTGCAACCAACCCCTCGTGCCTTTGTTAATGTAGTGCAAAGGGCTCGTGAATCAGGTGACTTAAGACCTCACAGGTGAGGGCATGCTGCTCCAAGACCGCACGATCAAATACAGGTCCGCACTGAAATACTTGTCGGGAGGATACTTTATTAAACAAGGTAACATTTTTTTTTATTTTTTTTTTATTTTTACACACATATTTTGGTTTATCTTCCTTATACAATCATTATCTGAAAATTAATGACTCAACTTCAAAGTCACCCTGTATATTATAAGGGTTTAAATAAGGGCACTGTATAGTGTTTTGGGACAACTTTCAACGAGGAATGTTTGGCATTTCTGCCACAAATCTATGCAAGTTCACCTGTATTAATAGCGAAGGTCTCACTGTCAGGATTCGGTTTCTCAATATGGATAAATACATGATATAATGAGTTGTTATTTCATCGAAGAACATCAACGCATGATAAATACATGAATGCGCGGAAATGATATCATTATTATGGAAAACTAAGAGAAAAGGAGGTACGTTTGATTATTTTGTAATGCCATACAATTTTCTCATCAACTGAGTGAAGGCGATCAAATTTTCAAATTTCACATTAAAGATAAGGATAGATTCTTCCTGAAAGTTCATCAAACATATGAAGATGTGCTCGATACCATTGTTAAGCTGAAGATACACAACGTACGAATTGTATACACTAACAATGATAGCTGCCATCAATTCGAATTGAGAATTTCCAACTACCTGATTGGGGTGAGGCTTTACCAATACAATGCCTGTGACAGAAAGTCACCCCATTGTGATATATATAGCATGGTAGGGCAAGCTCGACAGGACGCTTCGGTATTTGAATAATTCTAGTCCGAATTTATTCAACTACATCCACACAAGAAAAAATAGAAATGGCTGGTGAAAGAAGGGACTTTGTATTACCTTTTGAGGTATGTATATATTTTTTCTACCTTGCTTTTAAATCATGTGATGTATTGCTTGTGTTTGATTCACAACTTAGAGATGTTTTTTCTTGTTATTACAGCTCGATTCCAGTGATAATGAAATGGAAACAGACGAAGAAGGGGAAGAGGAACCAACTCGGATGACGGCGGACTCAACCAGTATATGCCCTTCATTTCCGGTATCCGATGTAAGTGTATTTATATTCATTTTACTCGCCTTCCATCCAAATCAAATTCCATTTGACCCTCAATGCAGTATCCGTATGTTACTTTTAATGGATTCAAGTCGTACCACTATATAACTAAATCGGGAGTGCCTCAGGGTTCACATCTTGCTCCTCTATTAATTACATTATTTATTGATCGTGTTGTATTAAGTTTTAATAAACTCCTCTTTGCGGATGTTTAAAATTATTCAGTATTATTGAATCTGAGACTGATTGTATCGCACTTCAACCTGATATTGATTCTTTAGTGACTTGGTATGACGAGAATAATTTATTCCTTAATGCGTCTAAGTGTAGTGTAGTCAGCTTTTCCATAAAAACTTCTGCTTGTACATTTAATTATAAAATTGGGGATGCTTACATAAATTAGTTATAACTCAATTAAGGGTTTGTGTGTAGTTTTTTGTCCGTAAACTGAATTTTTCACTCCACATAGCTCAAAGTGTGAGTGAAGAGTGAAGCTTCGCGAGCGTACGGTTTAATTGTTAGAAACTGTAGAAGCTTTAGCCGCCCAGACTCACTGTTGTTTTGTATTCTCAATATATCAGAACGAAATTGGAATATGCATCGTTAATTTGGAAGTCAATTTATAAGTACTACATTGATTGCTATGAGCATGTTCAGAGAAAGTTTCTAAAGTTCCTGTTAGTTTGATTGTAAATGGTTTCGTTAACCTTTCTGTTGAGCAATTAACGTTATTTGTTTATTTATATTTATATATTTCCTTTACGCTTTGCGTTTGAATTGAATACTATAAATATATTTTTTCTATTCTTTACAGCCAAACGATAGACCATGTGACACCACAAGTGTCTTTTATGTCGATGATAGAGACGATGACATGTGGAGCATTGAGACATTTGTTTTGGCCGACGGTGACCCAGATCAGAGTCACTGGCACCATTCCACACACCCTGACAGTCCTGGGCCCATCGGTGATACCGTATGAGGGTGAGGATAAGGATGAGGAGTTCGTCGTCATCAACGGAGATAGATTATCCGAAGATGATATGATGTTATCGGACTAGGCATCCGATCTGTCATCAAATATCGATGATAATTCGGAAGATTAGTTTACCTGAATGTAGTTGGTTTTTCGTTGTTTGTTAATTATAAGTTGTATATGTAAGTGAGATTTAAGAAATTGAATATATACTTTTAAAAATAGTATTGTGTTCCATTGAAAATATACCTTCACCATTGGAGATTTATCTCGTGTTAATTGTTCAACCAAGGATCCTCTAGCATGTGAGTTACTTTAGATACAATATCTTCCTAACTTAATCTGAATTGAGAATAGCAAATACAAAGCGTTATGTCAAATGAAAGTAGTCTAGCACATGTAGTTGACTTGATAGTTAAAATGAGTAATCCTTTCTGTCTATCCATGACTGGAAAATAATATTTATTCACCAATATGCAAAATGGATTAAAAAAATGGGTAAGTGATATAAAAAACATAAGACATCGCATGTCATATGATAACAAACAATCATATGTGTACGACAATTACAGTTAATTCTGAAATATTATCTATACAGGTTAAATGTTGAAGTTTTAGTTTTCTATGTGGTTATGTATTGTCATTGGCTGTACAATACAAACCCTGTATCTTAAAGTTTCATCTAAATTTTTTCCAATTTGGCTTGTGAAAAATGGCTTTGAAAACAGTTTTTTTGTGTTGTATCCAGGTCAGAAATAAATACATAGCAGGTGGTACCCCAAGCTGTCATGGCATATATTTAGTTTTCAGAATATATATAATATTCCTAGAATCCAACAGTGTTTTGTGTTGTGTTGTAGGTTAGAAAATATATATAATCGGTGGTAACCCAAGCCGTCATGCTATATATTATAAGGGTGTAAATAAAGGCACTGAATAGTATTTATAGACAACTTTCGACAAAGAATGTTTGGCATTTCCGTCGCAAATCTCTGGATCACCATTTGCGCTAGTAACGAAGCTCTCACGGTCAGAATCTTAGAACTGTGTAGTATTCCAAGATAATTTTCAACAAAGAATGTTTGCCAACGTCACATGTGCTAGTAGTGGAGGTCTCACGGTCAAGATTTGAGATTTCTTTTATGCTGTATCTATGGTAGAAAGATATTTTATGCAGGTAGCACCCCCAGGCGTCACCCCATACATTTTATGGAGACGCATGATACTGTATTCACATTCAATAAAGGTTGTTTATTTAGTATTTCACGGTTAGATTTTAACATTTTTTTTTTTGTTGTGCATCTTGGCTAGAAAGTCGAGAATTGTATATGTCTTACAGCTGGATATTTGGGAACAAAAACAGTTACATTGTATTAGAAATGGTATAAATACAAAGGAGGAGGCACCGATACTCAGTTGAGTTCGTGTTCTCAGACAAATCGATAAGAACCACCTTAACAATGGAACGTTTAGTGCTAGAGGAAATTCCGTGTCTATATAACGAAGAACATATAGTGCCGACAAATCTCATGGGTATGCACATTAATAGCTGTCCTCACCAATATTCAGCCGCTGCCGAGAAGGTCAATTGGCCAAAGTATATTTGGGAGTATCTGAGCAGTAAGTACCAATGTTTTTTTTTCATTTTTTTGTTTGTCTCAACCTAATAGTCAAACAATTTTGAAAACCAATCTATTGTAACATACATGCTATGATTATATCAGACTACATTTCCTTGTAGCGAGCGCAGGCGTACCATCTGCTTCTGTTGCATCAACGTCTCAGGGATCTGAGACTATAGATCATAGTATGGTGCGGTATGACGAGCGACTGCAAAGCAAAGGTTCGAATGATTTTTTAATGTTGTGCTTAACTATCGAATTGTGTCATTCTTTCTGATTTGCATTTTCATATCAATATTACCATCATGAAATTCCAAATGATTTTCATGTACATGTAAAATAGCTTGATGCAAAAAGTTCATGCTTATAACATCTGAGCAAATATATGAGAAACATGTCAGCTTAAGAATTCGAAACATCTTCAAGTGATAATTACCTAATACGTTGAACTAATCATTGGTATATAATATTCAAATATAATAAAAAAATATAATATAAACATTGCTATTAGTGCACACTGTTTTACTTTACGTAATACATATAATACTGCTTTTCAGCTGAAGCGCCTACAAAACCAACCCTACGGCTGTTGAGGACCACCGCAAGTATGGATTGAAACAATGTCCGTTGGACAAATCCCACTGGGTGAAGCCAACGTCATTGGCAAATCACTTAGTGCGATGCCGCAAACAACAACACCAGAAGCAGGATCAGCTGGAACAGCGAAAGCGGGATCAAAACTGTAAGGAGCGACCCATGGATCGAACATGCCATGCTGGAAGTATCAGGCAGGGGGCTGTACTCGAGCAAACTGAGGGTATGTACCATTTAATAATTTCATTTAGTAAGTCGTACTAAACATCATATTTTCTATACTTATAGTTTATTCACTGAATCAATGCAGTTACGTCACAATGTCAAATAATTACAGTGACGCACATGATTGTCACATTAATTAGAACTAATAGATCCTAGGGCGTTTTACAAAATCTACTTTATATCTTCGAAGCCATATGTTTTGTAAACGCTGGAGTTTATGACAGTGACAAAATAACAATGTAAATATTGAGTCAAAAAGACCGAAAATATACTACAAACAAACAACAGCCGTTGGCGTAATTACCTGACAAGCTTTGCAACAATGTCACAACACAGAAAACTGATACCAATATAAATTTACCTGAAGATCTTAAACTTCATTCAGCATAATACAAATCCATTGCCAGATATTATCCATAACTGAAACAATTTTTTTTTATTGTGCTTTAGAAAACTGGGACGATGATAACTATGGGACCTACCAACCTCAGCTGCTTGACCGACCCATATTGAGAAATGGGGGGATAGTGAAGTGGGTAGATTCAGGGGTTTGGAATGAATGTAAAAAACAATGTATCTAGGTTAGTTTATTAAAACAGGATTTAAAGAATCTGTATTTTTTTATTGATACAACCATTTCAACATATAGCAATTAGGTAAATATAACATAAAACTGAGAGTTTTTTATAATGTCGAAACCCCAACCATTTAACTAAAAGCTTGTTGTCCTTTCTCATGATCACCTTTTCAATCAAGTACTCATTTGGAAGTTTTGTTTTTTCATAGTTTGTTCTCATAGAAACAGGCTTTTATTGCACAACCATCCACATCTAACATATATGTAACTGGATTTGAAATGTTGGCTTTGTATATTTTAAATGACTCCGTTGAATAGTTCGATGTAGACCCTTTTCCCAAAAAAAAGACTTGTATTTGCTTACTCTGACGACATCGCTAGGTTTAAGCTTCTCTTTCCAGCTACTTTTGGATGATTGCACACATTTAATCGTGTATGGAAGTCGACTCCGATGGGGCTTACGCCCGTTGTTCGATATTTCCTGTTGTTATAAAAATGAGTAACATCTGCTAAGATATTGATCCACCGCTCTCTCAACTATTGAAGCTTTTTTTTCCAAAATTATGAGTATATGCGTCGAGCAACTTACATATATCAGGAAACAGGGATATGTGATAGCAGGCAGATAAATTTCGTAAATACCTTATACCATAAGCATTGTAATGAACAAATTCCCATAAGCACGAACATGACACATGATTTCGAATAGATTTATCTAATTTACAACGAGCACACAACATTATTCTTTTAAATTCTTAGCAGCTAAATTATAATAGATACGTATTGAAAAACAAAAAAGAAACACTTATATTTGTAAAAAATTTAGATAAAAATTTAAGATACAGGGTTTGTACTGTACAGCCAATGACCATTCATAACCACATAGAAAACTATAACTTCAACATTTAACTTGTATAGATAATATTTCAGAATTAACTGTAATTGTCGTACACATATGATTGTTTGTTATGATATGACATGCGATGTCTTATGTTTTTTTTATATCATAATGGAAATTCCGTTAATCGTCGTTCAACCATCGTCAAAGACACACCATCGAATATTTCGCTGCAAAATCGCAATTTCTGAAACTAATCAAACAATATGGTATCAAATGAGAAATTGGATGTTTTGAGGAACCCATCATAGATCATTCCTTAGCCAGCTTACAAGAATACACATACAAACCATATGGATCGCCATATTTCAAGAATTCAGATATAGTTCACATCCCTATAAACTTCCAAGATCTTATTTTAAACATTGCTGACAGTTATATTTACGTTGAAGGAACCCTGCTACTTATCAAACAATGCATTGGCATTTTTATTTCAAGAAATTTCCCTACAGATGGGTGGCGAAAATGTTAGGGTTCGGAATCCAGGGATAATTTCAACTATAAAAACGATGGTGTCACATGGTAAAAGTGCTATGCATACACTTTTATGTAGTGGTTGGACCTTAAGTACCGAGAACTCAGCTATATGGGATGTCAAAAGCAAAGAGTTATTCATGACTCATGTTTCAGTTACAATGGGTTTATCCAAAATGGACTTATTCATTCCTATTAAATGTTTTTGTAAGTGTGAAATAAAACTCATTTTCTTACTACATGTTGATTTTATTCCCATATACAAGCTTGACGTAACCTAAATCTAATACTTACAAACTTCCTCTAACATTAATTTTATTAATAAATCTAAAAACCATTTTCAGGAAAAGTGATTGATTGCACCTATAGCATATTTAACATTCAACATTGGGGTCAGTCTGGCAAAACTCAATGTCAGAGTGTCCCCAAGGTAAAGTTTTTATGGTGTTAGGAATAATAAACCTTTTATCATCACGATGTGCTAGAGCAATCTTATTTTTCACTTCGGTGTACACATCATGTAGTTTGCATTTAAAAGTATGCATCTTTCTCAATACCCGCCCACCTCTTTCGATTATTCTCTTATAGTCATTCCCAGATAGCTGCTTCCGTATCACGGACTTCTTAACGCCCTTTGCCTTTTTCATTTTACTTTTAACTGACCTAATATAATAAGCTTTTGCACCCGTCCCATAAAAGCTAATTATTGGATCTGCTGAAAACTCAACCTTCATTTTACCGAGGATCGAATGATTCACTGGAATATTGAATTCATTGTTCTCATTATAATTCGATGTGTCAAATTCATTGATATGATTCCTAATGAACTCATAGAAATTCTCGGTGTGTATTTTTAGAATTTGCGAATCAGTGTTAGAGTACAACATAGATATTTTATCATGGAAATGACTTTTGAGGAATCCGTAGAAGAATTCATACATTACTATCTTTGATAATTCTAATATACAAAATCCTAGATATATCGGTTTGAAATAACACACTTTCAGGGTTCCTAAGTGAACAATTTTTGAAATTTGGACGCGCTATTAAGGCCCCCACTCCAACGTTGTTGCGTAAATTTTCCCAATGGGTTTTAAGTTTAATTACTCTTCTATTGAAAACGTCCTCTAAAGATTTGCCAAAAATGCAATTACTGAGTAACTTATAAAAGTCCCTCTCAAATTTGTTGTATGTGTATGGTACTATGATAGTTTCGGCAATCTACCCCCACCCAAGGAATTAATCAAATATTTGACCAACAAGTCGAAAAAGATAAAAATCTTGTACAATTATAATCGACAACAACAGTTCAATACGTTTTGCTGTGGTCATTTGTGTTTGCGATTTCCATCTGAAGAAACATCAGAGCGCTGAAGACAATGGATCACGAACGATTGAAAAAGATTAGAGACTCTCTTAAAGCCTTTTCAAGGGAGAGAAGCCTGTTGAATATGACGCGAGATGAACTTGCACACATACCGAAAGAGGTACTCATATGTTGCATGCCAAATGAAATAGCACATGTATGGAACAAACTGCCGGAGCATTTGAAGGAGGACGCTAATATACAGCGATTCCAATTCTGCTGGGAACACCATGGAATAAGCAGGAGTGATGATGAGGCAGATGGACCGTCACCAAGAAAAGTATTTTGTTGTTACTGTAACATGCAAGATATCAATGTTAAAAATACATCTGAATCAAACAACTGTTGCAATCAATAAATATTTTTTTACCTATATAAGACCATGTTTTCATTCATCAAGTCTTCAGTCATGTTTAACACATTTACTCTAACGGGTTACACTAGCAAGCTGTCTGCTAATTTTTATCCACCAATCGAGTTGGATATAAGTGCGGAATATGGTCTGGGGTTGATTGGCTTTTATTCATACAACACCATATACAATATTAATGATCAACATAATAAAATGTCTTTTTCTCACGAGGGTGACGAGAGTAATGTGGTAACCCTTCCTGAAGGTGGTTATGAAATCGAAGATATCAATAAATACATACAACATGAAATAATTTCAATGAATGATTCATATAAAGAGAGATATGAAAACAAAGTTGATGAAATGTTCTCTTTGAAAGCCAACACTAATACTTTGAAGTGTGAACTGTATTCGATATTGCTCTGTCCAATTCCATGGCAACTATGCTTGGATCTAAGAACAAAATTTTTCCCAGAAACAAAATTTACACATCGAATTTACCTGTAAACATAACTCCCATCAGGATAATAAGAGTCGACTGTGGATTAATATCAGGAGCTTATTGCAATGGCATTGAAATGCACACTTTGTATGAGTTTGATATAGACGTTGAACCAGGATTTAAATTAACAAATGAGCCTCAGAATGTAATATATATGAGCGTTAAACCGCGTGGACGCCAGTTTATTGATAACATCACACTGGAAATTTTGGATAACGTCGGGAATTTGGTCAATTTCCGTGGTGAAAAAATTATAGTCAAATGTGAACTACGACGCCTGTCTAGTGCCAGCTGAAGACAATGGGATTTCTATATAACCTAGATATATATCATTTGAAGAATGTAGAAAAAGGTCGCACAACTAATCATAAAAGACGAAGAACCAATGGAAATTCCGTTAATCGTCGTTCAACCATCGTCAAGACACAGCATCGAATATTTCGCTGCAAAATCGCAAGTTCCTGGAGTCTATAGGGCTGAAACTAATCAAACAATATGGTTCTACACGTATCAAATGAGAAATTGGATGTTTTTGAGGAACCCATCATAGATCATTTTGCTTTTGCACCCGTCCCATAAAAGCTAATTATTGGATCTGCTGGAAACTCATCCTTCATTTTACCGAGGATCGAATGATTCACTGGAATATTGAATTCATTGTTCTAATTATAATTCGATGTGTCAAATTCATTGATATGATTCCTAATAAACTCATAGAAATCCTCGGTGTGTATTTTTAGAATTTGCGAAGCAGTGTCAGAGTACAACATAGATATTTTATCATGGAAATGACTTTTAAGGAATCCGTAGAAGAATGCATACATTAATATCTTTGATAATTCTAATATACAAAATCCTAGATATATCGGTTTGAAATAACACACTTTCAGGATTCCTAAGTGAACTGCAGCTAAATTTTCGTGAAATATGGAACAACTTTTGAAATTTGGACGCGCTATTAAGGCCCACACCAACGTTGTTGCGTAAATTTTCCCAATGGATTTTAAGTTTAATTACTCTTCTATTGAAAACGTCCTCTAAAGATTTGCCAAAAATGCAATTATTGAGTAACTTATAAAAGTCCCTCTCAAATTTGTTTTTTGTTTTATTCCTCATCGATGTATTAAGGTCAATATATTCTTTCAACCATAACGATTGCTTGAAATTGAGTACCCTATGGATTTTAGTTACTTGCAAACCGTACTTTATGACTTGTTGAAGCACGCGATAATGTACAACATAGTTTTTTTATCGTATAAGTTTGGTATTAATTTAGGAATTTTCGTCTTAGCATTAGGTGGGATCATACTTTCTACCAGAAAGGGAAGGTCGCTATTTTAAAATTTTTTTAGAAAAACTTGAAGACCTTTTAAATATTTTAAACATTAAATGTAAAAAATGTGGTATTGTCCTTTGTGGTGATTTTAACATAAATTTTAACAAAAACTCTTTAGATTTAAATTGTCTGTTGGATGTTTTAAGCTCATATTCACTGAAGCCTGTTATCAAACAACCTACGCGAGGATCTAATTGCATAGACAATATTTGTGTAGGGGTGGATGTAAAGTGTGATACTGCAGTAGTAAACAATAATGTTAGCAATAATTTTGCTCAATTATTAACTCTATACTATCAAAAAGATGAACAGCCACCTCAGATTTCCTACCAGTACCAAGACCTGTATAATAAATCCAACATCAACAATTTTTTAGCTCTCCTAGGTCAAGAAACCTGGGACCACATTTATCATTTCACTGGGGATATTAATGAGAAGTTTGATTTATTCCTACAAACGTTTCAGTATTACGTTGACATAGCATTCCCAGTTATAACCAAAACCGTAAAAGCAAGAGCCAGAAAACGATGGATTACAAAAGGTATCCTAATATCAAGAGATAAGCTTCACTATCTGTATAATTTGTCTAAGACGGGAGATGTATTTCTTATAGAGTTCTATAAAAAATATAAAAAGGTATATGCCAGAGTTTTAAGAGCAGCTAAGCGACTATATTACAACAAAATTATACTAAATGCAAAAAATAAAACAAAAAGTGCTTGGAATGTAATAAACGAAAACAGAAACACACCTAAGCACGAAATCATCAACTTAAACATAGAAAATAAAATAATAACCGAACCAAAAGAGATTGCCGAAAAATTTATGCAGCATTTTAATGATATTTCAGGCTCCTATGAACGTAATGGAACAGGAAATAATGGAAATAATATAGATAGAAACAGTCACTCTTTCTATTTTCAACCTGCTGTAAGTTGTGACATAATATCAATAATAAATAACCTTAAAAACTCCAACTCTACTAGCGCAGATAAAATTAGTGCAAATATTTTAAAAATGTCATCTAGTTTCCTTAGCCAACCTCTAGCATTTCTAATTAATTGTTCCATTGAGGAGGGGACATTTCCAGATAAACTTCAAGTTGCAAAAATTAAGCCCTTGTTCAAGTCTGGTGATAACCACGACATCTGTAATTTTAGGCCAATCTCCCTAATCAGTCCCTTTGCGAAAGTATTTGAGAAATATGCTTCCTTACAAACTGTCAATTTTTTTGACAGGTTCAAATTATTCAATAGCATACAGTTTGGATTCAGAAAAGGTTTGTCAACCAAAAACGCTGTGCTTCATTTTCTTGATGAACTGTATTTGAAAATGGACAATGGTGAAAAGTGTGTAGGAATATTTCTTGACTTGAGTAAAGCTTTTGACTTAGTTGACCACGTAATACTTTTGGATAAATTGGATAGATATGGAATCAGAGGTAAGCCATTTGACTGGTTTTACAGTTATCTAAGCAACAGAAAACATTATGTTGAAGTACTGACTGCACAGTCTGACCAGCACCTATATCATACAGGGGTTCCACAGGGTTCCATACTTGGTCCTCTCCTATACATAATATATGTCAATGACTTTCCCGCCAAATCCTCGGTAATGTATGCTGATGATACCTCATTACTTATTAATGGCAAAAACCTGGAGTCAGTGATAAGAAATGCCAACACAAGCTTAGCTAGTGCAGAGCAATGGTTCATTAATAACGGCCTGGTCTTAAACCACAAAAAGACAGTGTTTCTGAGATTTAACTACTCTAACATGCACATGGATCGTAGTCTCCTTGTAAAATCAAGCGGTAGATCCATGGAACAAGCAGAAACTATAAATTTTTTAGGAATACACATATCGCAAAACTGCAAATGGGATACGCATATAGAGAAAGTTAGTCAAAAGATTACCTCTCTTTGCTATTGCATGTACCAGCTGAGTTTTATCGTTGATAAGTGGATATTGTTTATGTTTTACCATGCATATTTCCATTCTACTCTGACTTATGGAATAGAAGCATGGGGAGCATCCTCCAAATTACAAAGGCTTCTTATATTACAAAAAAGAGCTATTAGAACTATTGCAAAGGTGGGAAGGCGCTTTAGTTGCAGGGAACTATTCACAGATTTGAAGATTTTGACGCTGCCTTCAGTATATATATTGAATATATTGATTTACGTCAAATCTCACCTGAACAATTTTAGTTCTATAAATTCTGGAATTTATAATACCAGAAACAGAGAAGTATTGGAGGTGCCGGCACATAGGTTGTCTAGGACGGAGGAGAGTGCCAAATACATGGGAATAAAACTCTTCAACAAAGTACCCATTGATTGTAAATCACTACCGCTGATATTATTTAAAAAAAGAATCAAGCAAATTTTACTTGATAAAGCTTTCTACTCTATAGAAGAGTTTTTAATGAGTGATAGTCTTTTTTAATTGTTTTAATGTATTGTTCAATTTTAATTTGTTAATTTGTATTTTAATTTGTTTTCATGTTTATACACTTCGTGTTTTTATTTGATGTTTTGAATGTTATTTATGTATGTAGGCAATTCTGTTTATACAAATATTCAATTGACTTATCCTATATCACTTTGTGATCCAAAGGATGAATAAATTATTATTATTATTATTATTATTATTATTATTATGGGAATCGTGGTAGCTTTCGGGATACCGCACATCAACTTCTAAAACATACCCGTCTTCACCATGTTCTTCCACATTTCAAATGTGGAAATTTCCCCTTCATTTATCCATTCAAAATTTCATGTAGGAAGAAGCGATGACATTGAGTGACCGTAGATGTTTGTCGAATAAAGATATGCTATGAACGTGGATTCTTTGGATGGATTGTAGTTTGGTAAATATTTATTATTTGCTTCATGCATTCTATCACTGCATTGACTTATACCACCGCGAATACCCTTTTTAAAAAAATGTATCATATCAATATCTGTTAAAAGAGTTAAACTTACACGAGTAAACTTCAACATCGCATCCCAGGATAATCCAGGACTCGTATGATAGTGCGCTAGATCAATCTTATAAATGTTCAAACTGTTTTTTCTGAACTTCTCAAACACATCACATAACAGTAAGACATCCGTCCGCAAATAAATATCTGAGTATTCACCTAGATTCTTACAGGTGAATGTTTTCCAAATAGCATTTGCTCGTTGATACTCTGCTTCAGATATATCCTCATCATTCAAATTATCATAAATGTCACTTTTGGATGTAAGCATTTCCTGCTCCAACTTCTTTGAATTACCAAGATAACTGTATGGAAAGACGCCTTTTTGTCTCATCATATTAAACATCCTTGGATCAGTAAAGTACTTTTTAGTTTCAATGAAATCCTCATCATTCAAATTCTCTGATAACGCTTGTAAGGATCACGGTAAAAAGCGACAACTGTCAATAAACCTGATTTTTATGAACTTTTTTTTGATTGTACCACTTTTATCGATATAATCATGCATATATAAGCTTTTTGAAAATGAGGTATACTTTTCCTTATGTTGTGCTACAACATCTATATTATCTCCATGAGAAGATAATTATTTGATAAATAGATGACTGTCATACCCACTCAGATTATGCATAATAATAGGTATGAAGTTTGGTAGCTTGAAATTTAAATTACATTTGAAATGTGCAGCACCGGATCTTACTTTACCCGTTATGTGACAATGATCGCGGACTTTTATATATCTTCTCCTGAAAATGATTTCTCACAAATATTGCAGATTGTAGCTATATCAAATTCATTTTGCTCATCCGATGTTGAAGGAATTATTGGAGTTACATCCTTCATATATTTGAAATAAAGAAATTTCAAATCTGCTTCTAATTCCGTAATGAATTTTTTAGAAGCGGTTTCACCACGATAAAAAGCAAACTTTACCACCTCTGAATCAAACGATGATTTGATTAAATATGAAGATGAATATGGTTCATGTATGTGGGTTTCACTTGTGTAAGACTGTTCTGCATTTGGTTCGCAGCTATCAATAGGTTTTAATAGAGATTCAAAATCGGCATATACAACAAAAGGTACTGGCATTTGCATTTCAAAATTTTCAAATTTAATTATGATTTCTGGAACCTGTTTACCCTATTTATCAGTTCGTAGTTTCTCAGTAGGGGTTTTTGTGTAAACATGGTCACAATCATTTCTTTGATGAATATCAAGAAACGCTTCAGATGAAAAATGTAACAGACAACCATCACAGAAATATTTCTTATGTGCATGTGAGTTTATCTGGTGTGAAACTAATCGTGAAAGATCCCTTATCCAACAAAAGTGACCGTTTCCTTTATCATCGGTTAAATACAGCAAATTAACATTCAATTTTAACTTCTTTTGAGCATACCTTAATGGTCCTACTACTTCATAAGTAACATTACCATTCTTAATCAACTTTTCGAGCCCATAAACATTGATGGATATAGTATTATTTTTTTCAAACACTGAAATGTCTTTAAGATTAACTGGAAATGTCATACCATTAACATTCAGGATTGTAGAGAAGTGCAGGTAGGAAGATGTCTGTGCTGGGTGAGCGTGAGCTGGCATCAAAGCAGATGTCACAGCCCAAGCGAAACAATACTCATCTTTATTTTGAACGTTTATAATTGCCTTCTTTTTCTCGATAAAATGTGGCAACTTGATGAAAGATGATCCTCCAAATGGTGAAAACTTATTTATATTCACTTCAGCAAACAGAATAGTTTTTGTGGCCCATCCTGAAAACAATAGGAAACGATTATTAGTCTCTTAAATTTAATAATCATGATAATAACAATCACCTAAATTGAGAGAATTACAAGATTTTGTTATCTAAATAACTTACCAGAATCCTTTTCTTCAAACTCGGATGACTGTGATATAATCTCGTCAGTGAATTGCTTGTAAACATTAGATAGATCTACTCCCATATCTATTACTGTGTCGGTTGTATCGAATGACTTGATATCCACGACATCTTTGCTCTGTAACACATATTGTCCAAACACCTCCATATTCACTTTCAATGCTCTATATACTCGAAGCTTATCTTCTATAACCTCAAGCACATTTTGTTGGATGTTGCGGAAAAAGTCTTAAAAGCTGATATATGCATCTGTTGCACTGAATCTGTAACTGGCAACTCTGCATCTAAATGCGCTGTTGATAAGTATTACACCATCACTGATTGACATTGCTGAGTTTATTCTATGTTGTAATGTTCTTGTGTGGCTGGTCATTCGGTTTTTCGGAAGCGTTATGTTACAGCATGGACAAATCATGTTTTCAGGTGAGCTGTCCAGCTTGATTTTCTTAGCTTGACTGGTAGATTCAAGTTCTATTTTGCAAATGTTTCTCGCATGACGCCGTAAATTATCCGACAGCGTAAAGTTTTTACCACACTTACTACACGTATACATTATAACAAAGTATGTGTACCGATTGATCACTGAAAGCTAACTAAATCACTTTCAGTATGCAACCTCCTCGCTTTTTACACACTCATCAGGATTGGAGTGGGGAGAGAGGGATAGTCCGATAATATTTTGATTTCTATCGCGACGGCTGTGCGGTCGAGGAGGAGGGGAAACTTCAGGGGACCTCTCCACGCAACGTCCGTCAACACATTTCTATTAAACGAAACGTTTTCGATGCTATGAGGGTCATTGAGAGGACTCAGAATTTAAACACCCCCGCCCCTTACCTCATCGCCCCTTACCACACTGCACTACCATGGGTGCCGTCGAGCTATTTACCTGAGCAGACTTAGATTACGTTACTGCACAGGTGCATATAAGAGTTCAGGTAGTCTACAAAAAATATGATGTCAACATTTCTATTATACCGAACCGATAATAGGTTTTAGAATTAGCATGTCCATTGAGAGTCGACTCTATTCTACTATACAATAGGTTATTGATCGGAGACCGAAGCGTCAAGAGGTTTTACAATTAGAATGCTCATTGAGAGGGCGGGAATGCTTTCCATCGAGCTATTTATACGATACAAATTTGTCGAACAACACGTTTTCGATGCTAACAGGATTGTCATTGAGAGGAGTCGGAATTTAAACAGTTACCCCACCGCACACGACGATTGAGAGGGCAAAGAATGGTCATATCATCGGATTAAGGTGTAGGGATGACGAGATTGAAGTGGGAAAAGAGCGCTGCTGCTCGTTCACCCGATCGATGAGTTATAGTAGTGGGGAGAGGGAGGAGGGGGAGACACTATCCGTCGACTCATTTCTATTAAACAACACGTTTTCAATGCTATGAGGATGGTCATTGGGAGGACTCGGAATTTAAACACCCCCCGCCCCTTACCCCACCACACAAACCACCCCTTCAACACCCCCCTCCCGGGAGGCAACAGAACCGGCGAATCAACCCTACTGAGGAATACATACCTCATACAGTGAAAGCGCCTAAGCCAGGGTCTAACGGCTGGTTTAACAAATCGTGTGACACTGCTCGCCAGCAGAAGATCAAGGCATACCGAACCTTCTTACAAAACCTCACTCTAGAGAACAGACAAGCCGACGTCGAGTCCAGAAACGAATATAACGAAGCGGTTCGCAATGCCAAAAACCAGCACGCTATAAAAGTTAAGCACAGAGTAATGTCGCAGCCCAATGGTGGTCGGTCTTTCTGGATGCTGGCCAAGCAGATTGAAAAGAACTACTCACACCACTTCCGCCACTTACGTGTCAGGATGGAACGATTATATAGGACTCAAAGGCCAAGGCGGTAGTCCTTACCAAGATCTTTGCTGCCAGCTCCACCATGGATGTCCCCTCCTACGCCCAAGTGTCGTCAATTCAAAGGGTTCTATGCGGGAAGTAACATTCAGGTATAAGACCGTAATACGAGTGCTCTTGTCGCTCGATGTCAACAGAAAACTGGGAATTCGCTCATGTCTAGCCTATCCCAAAAAGGGATCTAAGACCGACCCTTACAACTACAGGCCTATAGCTCTATTTTCTGTTATAAGTAAGGTGATTTAGAGGTGCCTAAATCGCGAGCTTCTCGACTACCTCATACGTCATAGCTTGATTAGCGACAGACAGTATGGTTTCCGGCACCAGCTATCCACAGGAGACCTCCTGGTAAGGCTTATGTCGTTGCTCTTGACATCACGAAAGCTTTCGATCAGCTGTGGCACGCGCTGCCCTTTTAAGCAAACTTTCATCCTATGGCCTCTCAGAAACGCTTTGCTGATGGGTGGCTCACTTTATCTCTAGTCGCAAGATATCCGTCGTAATTGGCGGGTTCTCCTCTTCATCCCACAATTACAATAGGGATGATTCCCAGGGATCGGTCTTGGCTCGGACACTGTTCCTCTTACATATCAACGACCTCCTTTCCTGCACGATCAACCCAAACCACAGCTTCGCTGATGAAAGCACTCTACATGCAGGAATTCAGAGTGACAAGCCGATCTCTGCCGCTGAGCTGGAAAATAGAAGACTAGCGACGACTTCCTCTCTGACCTGGAGGTTATCACTGCTTAGGGCGCAACAATCTTGTACAGTTTAATGCTTCCAAAATACAGTGCTGTACCTTGACGAACAGAAAGCGTCCTAAAGCTCATCCGGTTCACTTCGACAGCTCGGAGTCCAGATTACCGAGGACCTGATCTGGCACCAACTCATCTCGTCAATAGCGGCAGCTGATGGGAAAAAGTTAGGCTATTTGTTTAGGGCTAAGAAGTACTTTTCTCGGCATGATCTTCTCACTCTATAAAAGGCCCAGATAAGGCCTAGCCTCGAGTATTGCTCACACGTTTTGGGTGCTGCCGCCCTGACTACATTATTTACGCTCGATGCTGACCAGAGGAGGGCTGTCCGACTGATCGATGACTCTTCTTTAACAGATAGTCTCGGGACCCTTTCGCACTCTTGTACCGCTACACCAACGGGCTTTGCTCCTCAGAGCTCACTTCAATGATGCCGCCACGCGATGTGCCTGCCAGACAGACCCGCCTGACTTTGACCTCCCAACCTAACCGTGTCGTATTCGTTATCGCAATCAAACACATTGTTTTGTGTGTAATGGATTGGTCCATCAGAATGTTTTAATTATTTTTTTTTTGTTAACAGCAATGAAGTTTTTTATGTTTGAATCTTTAATATTATTAAACTAGTTAATTATAACTGCCACGTACTTATTTTGTTCTCATATAGTAAAATATTGCCTTTCTGAGGATTTCTGAGCATTTTCCATGTTTTTTTTTCAAGCTGGCCTTGACCAGATATAACATAACGAATTTAAGGAGCAATAATGGAATAAATTCTAGACGATATCCTAAATCGGCCCTTGTGGGCAAAGGTCCTACGGACCGCGCAGTCAAACAAATGACGAATAGTGGGGTTTTTACTAACATTTCATTTTAATTCAATTCAGTCCCTATTATATTGCGCCTCGCCTTTATAAATAAGGATAAGTGTAGTAGCTCTACTTGCAGTCAAATCTCACATAGTTCAAAGCAAATTTTCTCACCCTGGATACAGTCCTGTCCTTACCGCCACTCCGTCGAACGCTCATACTTTGTTTGTGTGTCGAATCAAGCAGTTCGTTCCCGGTTAGTGCGTACCTTAGTGCCGGGATTTTTTCAAATTGAGGGGGTCATGCACAAAAAATCAATTAAGCGAAGGCACCGCAGCCTTTCACGCGAATCTAGCGCGGAAAATGCAAGAAATATGGGTGATGTAATGAATTGTCTTCAAGACATTACTAAGAGATTGCGGAAAATTGAAGATCGCCGCAGCCGAAGCCCAGTACGGAAACGACATCGGAGAGTAGTGTAGTCTTTGTCTTCATCGTCTCAGTCGTCGGAGTCCTCTCTGTCATCTAGATCAAGGACTCCCCCTGGTTCGAGTATAATGGATCGGTCCGGGGGCCACACTTCAAATTGCACGGTTTCACCGATTTTTTTACGTTCGGCTGGTGAGTAACATTCGAACCTTTTTTCGTACTTCAAGGTATCAAGGAAGTATACCCATTCTCTAAGCAGGTATCGATGAGGGTACCTATTTATTTCGTCTGGTACCAATGAGTGTACCCAATTATGTCGCCTGGTACCAATGAGTGTACTTACGTATTTTGCCGGGTATCGATGAGAGTACCTTTTTTGTTTTTGGCTGGATGATAAGGTATCAATGAGCATAGCATACCTTTGGGCTACAACGTTTTGCAGCTAACCTATCTAATTGTAACATCCTGTGTCGGGTGGGTAACACCACAGCCTTGGCCTACATTAATAAAATGGGTAGTGTGCGATTTTCAAAACTTAATAGTCTGGCGCGCACCATTTGGCAATGGTGTGAAACAAGAAACTTATTCCTTTATGCGGCATACATAAAATCAGCCGATAATAAGGAAGCAGATTTGGAATCTCGTAGTTTGGAATCCGAGACGGAGTGGTCCCTGGACGTATCTGCATTCGAAAACATAGTTGCACAGTTTGGCAAGCCTGAAATTGACCTGTTTGCGAGTAGAATTAATGCAAAATGCAAAAAATTTGTTTCATGGTTGAGAGAGTATGGCAATTGATGCTTTCACGTTGATTTGGGGAAAGCTCTATTTTTATGCACTTCCGCCATTTTCACTAATTTTGCGGGTATTGAATAAAATCATTCTCGATGGAGCAAGGGGCATTCTTGTCGTCCCCCTATGGACATCTCAAACATGGTATCCTTTGGAGAAAGACTACCCTGGTGGCAGGAATTGTATTAGGCAGGCGTTGAAGTTGGGGGACGTTCCCTCGGAATCGCTAAATATATATCTTGCATCAGTTACAGATAACACAATTAAGCAGTACAACGTGGGCTTGAGGCTTTGGTGGGAATATTGCAATCGGGAAAAAATAAATATTTACACCCAGTCGGTTTCTGCAGTACTTAAATTTCTAACATTTCATTTCAATAAGGGGTCTTCGATTAGCTCTCTGAATTCATATAGAGCAGCACTTTCACAGATTCTAGGGCCAAATCTTAGTGAAGATTTCAGAATTAAAAGATTTTTCAAAGGACTGAGTTACTTAAGGCCTCCGCTCCCTAAGTATAACAACACCTGGGATCCAGGCATAGTTTTGAACTATATAAAAAATTCATATTCTACGAATCCTACTTTAAAACAGTTAACTCTCAAGACGGCCATGCTCCTCGCCTTAGCAACAGGCCAACGCGTCCAAACATTAGCTAGTATGGAAGTGTGTAATATTCAAAATTTCTCAGATCGGTTAGAAATCCGCATATCTAAAAGGATGAAGACATCTGGCGTTAACAAAATGCAGCCCACATTAGTTTTGCCATTTTTTCCGGATAATGTGAATATTTGTCCAGCAAAAACGTTACTGTTATATCTGGAAAAAAGAAAGGCTATTCGAGGTAACGAACTGAGTTTATTTCTATGTTTTAAAAGGCCGCATCGAATAGCCTCTGCTCAAACCATCAGCAGATGGTTAAAAACTATGTTATTAAAGAGTGGTATAGACATAAGTTCTTTTTGTGGTCAGAGCACTAGACATTCAGCTACTTCTGCCGCCTCCAGGACAGGGATAAGCTATGATAGCATCCGGTTGGCCGCGGGGTGGACGGAAAAATCTAAAACATTCGCAAGATTTTATCAAAAACCATTAGTTTCTAGCAAGTCTGACTTTGTGGAAGCAGTTCCCTAAATATTTCCCTAAACATGGACCACCCTAACTTTTTTTTAAATAAAAATTTGAAAAATTGACAGAAATCAGTCTAATTTATTTTATTTAATCAGTAATATATTATTGCTTATACACACATTTTTTTTCTCAAAAAATAGACAAATGATAAAATAAAACAACACATTTTCCAAAAAATAACGAACGTTATAAACTACTACTTGGGATGATAATATGGACCACTGGATTTTAATATGGACCATACCAAAATGCGCCAAATAAAACAAAAATTCGCAACAAGATCTTTTAATCTTATAACAAAGCGTTGGAATCATATAAACATCTAAGGGTTAGATCAAAATTCACATATAAATATGTCTTTTTCCACACCACTGCAATCTTCATGTGCCCATCGGCTGCAAGAGACACATTGGATCCATAATTTCCCATGGCAATCTTGGGAATACAAACTATCGCAGTACAGACAGGCTGCGTTTTCTTGCACAATAGGATCAGGTATGAAAGATTCTTCGCCATCTGAACTATCCTTTACCGAAAAATCACTGGAATCGTCGGAGCTAGAGACTTCACGCGTTTTAAGAAGGGGTTTTCGTTTTTTCGTGGTGGTTTCCTTGGTAATTTTTTTTTATCTTCATTTAGCATTAATGCTTCTTTCAACCTATTATTTGTCTTAGGATCCATGGATTTTTTTTTTGCCCTTCATAAGTGATTCCTCAAGTTCTAATTTGTATGGTGAAGATGTTAAAACAGTCGCTTTAGTGGCCTTTCTTCTCCTATTGCATTTTATGTTTCTTATGCGAGGTATTGGACTGATATTTATCGGCGTGATAAAAGCAGGAGTTGCTGAAGCACCTGCTATGGGGTTCGGAATTAAGACTCCAGCATCGCCACCGCTCTGAATTGAATTGTTGGTAGTCTTGACTGTTATACCAGACAAATTACTGTTCGTGGGAGATTCGTTATCCAACTCTTCAGTTCCAGATACAGTAATGAAGTCATGATCTTTAAAGATGTATCTGTTAAGATGATATATCCCTGTTGTTTTAAAGCCATTTATAGCCACCTCTGCACACTGAGCTCGCACGTATGCACGGCCAAAAATACCTGCTATGTCATAGTGAGCTATTGGTTTAGTGTTAACTCGAATTCATACACGAATTTCTTCTGACATATTTTTTAAAGGACCCATAAACGTCTTGTCCAGAGGTTGGATTTTATGGCTTGAATGGGGAGGCATAGACAATAACTGAACATGGTTTTTACGTGCTAAATCAATTACCTCTATATTCCGAATGTGACTTGAATGTCCGTCCAATATTAAGAGAACTGGTAATGTAGCGGAAGGTTTCACATTTTCCAAAAAGTGTTTAAACCATTGAGTAAACAGATCTCTTTGGATCCACCGTGTTGGATGGCAAGCGTGTATTGCTCCAGGTGGAGCACCATTCATTAACTGCGGATGGTCTCGCTTACGGGGAAATATCATCATTGGTGGGACGAATGATCCTGCTGCATTCATAGAAATGACACACGTAATGGTTGAACCCCGTTCGGCAGAAGTGACTGCAGCTATTCGTGTTTTACCCCTTAGAGATAGAACTTCCGGCATTTTGTTTGGGACAACAAATATACCCGTTTCATCAACGTTGTAGATGCTAGCAGGAGGATATTTGAATTCATTCATTGCTTTCTCCAATAGGTCAAAAAATTAGAGACATTTTCCTTGTTAAATCCTTTAATCCTCGCAACTGAAGTTCCTGTCGGACGAGGAAAAGACAAATTAGGATGACGAGACAAAAACTACTTCTGCCATGTTTTTCCAGCAGATTTATTTACTTTTGAAAAAGTATTTTTAATTATTGCGTTTGGTGAGTTAGTATGCAATTGATTTAATGTCCCGTCGACTCAAACCAAAACCGCTATTTTCCATAGCTAGAACGTAACTGACCAAGTCAATTTCTAGATTTTCTGATAGAATAGCTTTTCTGCCTAGTTTAATTGCTATTAGGCTGTGTAAGGGCAAATTATTGTTTTTAGATAAGCGAATAAGTGTAGTTTTAGGGACATGGAACGATTTTGTGGCTTTTAAATATCCCATTTTCTTCTCTCTCACTGCAATTATGGAATTTTTCATTACTTCCTGGTCCCATGTTTGTCTTTTCTTAAGTGGATTCTTCGCTTGTGAATATATATTCTAAAAAAACAGCTTTTAATATGGACCACTAGTCCATATGTAATACTTCAAATGTAGTCCATATTAAAAGAACATCATTTTTTTACTTAAGTATCTTATTATTCTGAAAAAATAAAACCTAACAAAACAATATTCGCTTAAGGCATACTCAATAAATAAACTAAGAAAAAAATAATATTTTCAGGATTACATCCTTGTGAAACTTACCTAAAACTTATATCATATACCGTCAACAAATTACTATGGCCGACTTGACGTCAACGTTGCACCTGCACTGCTTAAAATTGACTCACACATAGCGGGTTGAGTCCGGAACAATATAAGAAATGATTCAGATGTTGCGGTGTTGCCATTGTAAGGAAAATAAGGTGGTCCATATTAGCGGACTAGTCCATATTTGGAGATTTTACTCTACTACTCGCAGTTCTGCATTTTGTTTTTTTAAAGGTTACTTATTGTTATATAAGGTAAGTTTACCAAATATTGCCATAGATCCTAATAACGCCACCCCAGGAAGCGCATATTTTTCAGACATTATATGAAATCTGGAAACATGGAACGTCTTTTGGGGTAGCCATATATTCCTTACCACGTTGTCGGTTTCAGTTGAGGTTAATCGTCTGGTGTGGATGCACGCCAAAAATTGTTCTAGTTCTCTGTTATAAGAAAATCATTTCATTACCTGGCGTGTGCACAATTATAACACATTACTGTTCAGATTTCTATACTGCTGCAGGTAGGTGCATATTTATAGTTATTGTTCCACAGGTTATGTATCTGATTCTGTATGTTTTTCTAGATATAAATGGAAATGTTTTCTGCATTGCATTTGTTCTTAATATTGCCATAGAATGGTATACCTAATACAGCCAGTGGCAGTATTAGGACCACCAGTGGCAATATTAGAGGCACCAATGGCAATATTAGGATTCAAGCAAAAATTCAGAAAATTCAGCTATGTTATTTGAAAATGCACGAATGTTTCCTTCCAGAATGCCAAAGACACGGGCATTGTGGACAGAAGCGGGCCTCCACTCAGCATTACTGGCCATAGCAAATGGCACTTCAATCAAAAGTGCTGCCAAGCGGTATGGAATTCCCCGAACAACTCTAGGACTACATCATAGAAAACAAAATTTCAAAAAGAAGCTTGGAAGGTCTTCAGTTCTGTCTCCGGAACAAGTAAAAAATGATCTTGTTACGAGAATTCATAGATTATCTGAAGTCGGAATGCCTATTACTAGCAAAGTTTTGATGAAAAGTGTATATACCTACGTTTGTGAAAACAACATACCGAATCGTTTTCGAAGCAATCAAAACGTGCTGGAAGAAAATGGTTGAAGCTGTTCCTAACTAGACATCCTGAAGTATCTCGCCGGAGGGCACAACAAATGAACATTGCGCGTGCTCAAAAACTAAATAAACCTATAGTTGGTGATTGCTTCAGCAAATTAAAGGATGTTATGGAAAATATGGGCTTGTTTGACAAACCAGGTAACATATACAACATAGACAAGAAGGGATGCAGATTAACAATACACAATCAGCAAATTGTACTAGCTAAAGAGAGGGTCTAAGCGCGTACATTTAACTGCTCCTGAACATGTCGAGAACGTTACAATTGTAGGTTGTGGAAATGCGCTATGTCAGTCTGTGCCACCATTTATCCTTTTCAAAGGTCAAAGACTGAAACCTGAATGGTCTGATCACTTACCACCAGGCTCAAAATGTATTGTCACAAAAAAAGGTAGTATGACGTGCGAAGCGTTTGTTTTGTGGTTAAAGCACTTTGCTTCCTTCAAAAACACCTCCTACTCTATTAATCTTTGATGGCGCGAAATGTCATCTTGATATTTCAATAGTTGAAGCAGCCGATAGCATGAACATAACGTTATTTTGTCTTCCAAGTAACACGTCTCATGAGTTGCAGCCCATGGACAAATCCGTTTTCAGAAGCTTTGAAACATTTTGAGATCAAGAAGTTCTGCACTTTCTAACAACTAACCCTGGCAAGACCTTGACTAAAATTAGATTTGGAGAAATTTTCACGACTGTTTGGTTAAAGGCAATGACACCATCAAACATAATTTCTGGGTTTAGAGCCACAGGGATATACCCATTCAGGCCGGATGCACTACCTGAGTCTGCTTACGCACCAAGTGCAATTTCTCACAGAGAAGAGGACACAGAAAATCGTGAACTCGGTTTTCAAAATACTGTAGCCAGGACCGAGAGTTCCGAATCATCCGCATCGATGAATAATGTATCTAAGGCAAGTACAAGTGGGAATAAAGGACTGTTACAAAACAAGAAAGCAAAAAAAATATATCGTGAAGCATATTCTTCAGATAGCGAGTCATTATCGGACTTTAGTCTACATGATGATACATCCGCTAACACTTCTAGTGAAGATGAACCCTTGGCTACTTGGAAACACCAAAATATCAGCGTGGACAGATTAAACGAATGCCATAAGCAAAGCTCATTTTCCGTAAAAAATAAACCGCCAAACACTTTTTGCGATGATGAAGTTCCACTCATACTTCTCAAAAATAGAGAGAATATTGTCTCTAAAACAGCCACAAGCTCACCTCCAGACAATTCATTCACGGCTACAGGATTACTCATTACTCCCGAAATCAAAGTACCCACAACAAAAAGAAAGCCTGCGTTGAACAGTAAAGCTCAAAAGCTTGCATAGGATTGACCAAAGAAGATAAATAAATATTTATTTGTCCCTGTTGTAGTTGAAAATTTTTCAAGTACCTACCATTTTCATCTACGATTATGAGTTTTAAAGTTTTATTTTATGTTATTTTTCAATATTTTGTTAATTTTACTGAATGTTTTTAATGTTCATACGATGTGGCAATAATAGGAGCACTGGTAAGCTTAATATTGTCACCAGATATTATAATAAAGAACTACGATAAGCCCATTTGTATTCATCCTATTGAAATGCCTGAAACGTATGTTATAGAAAATATATTTCTCTGTGTATATCTCAGTTTTTATTCCGTTACTGTGAAAAATGAAAACTATTTATGGCAATAACTCTTAAGGTGGCAATATTTGGTACAGTTACCTTATTCCTTTCGATAGTTTCAGGATATTTCTTGTTGATTTAGTACATTAATGAATAATGTCCACAATAATGTTATAATAAAGACAACATTTTAATCTATTCTTCTTTCCTTTTCGATTAATTCATGATTGGTTATTTTTCTTTCAATATTATTGATAAAGTAGTACCTCGTCATATTATGTACCTACTTCATTGGGGCAACACTGTATTGATTACAGCGCTTGACTAAAATAGGCGAACGCAGTAACGAAGTTAATGTGGTTGTTACGGTGTTTGACTGAAATTGTTCAGTCATTACAGGGAATGACTGAAATGCTTAGTCAAACGTTGTAATAATCACTGTTACGGTATTTGCCGGCAATACGGGGACCGACTAGGCATTTCAGGGAATGAAGGATTTCAGCGTTTGACGCCGACATATATACAGAGTGTCCAATAATTACCACGACAAACTTAAGGAGAAGGTAGGCTTTGGACTGACCTCCCAAATAACAAAAACTTACTTATATAATAGTGACACCGTTTTTGAAATATTGAATCTTTTATTAAATTTTAAAAAACGAACCTTTTCATCTGTGTTCTTTAGCTGCATGTACAAATAAGGTTAAACTTTGTTAATTTTTTCTATAAAATACTTCTAGATAGTTGCTTTATCATATACAAGTGCAATGTAGTTAAAATGTATTAAGGAACCATGATCAAATAAGGAGTATTTTGGGATTTATAACCTTCTGATATTTGTTCCTCAACTTTGACGTACTGTGGTAAAACAAAAATGTACTGGGCTATAACTGCATTATATTGAATAAAAAGATTGCTCATTGAATACAGATTTCAGAAAGGCACCACACGTACTATTTGGAATAGAAAAAAGGGATAGCTGCTTTTGTAAGTGACTGACACACACTACAATGTAATTATTATTGGATTTAAATTCAAGTTGCACTGGTTACCGATTAGTGACATGCTAAATGGTACAAAGCTACATTATTATTACCTGCTCCTGATATGATTTTATGAAAGTTGAGGAAACAATATCAGAAGGTAATAAATCCCAAAGCAGTCCTGATTTTATCATGGTTCCTTAATATCTTTTAACTACCTACATCGCATTTGTATATCATAAAGCAGCTATCTAAACTGAATCCAAATTCAAGATGAGATGTAAATAATAACAGTTAGCGCGTGATCTCTCGGTAACAGGTAGGGACAACGCCTCTTATTGGTCAATTCGCCATTAAATTTCAAGCGGTCGCGGCAGGCAGAGTTGCATTCAGGCCACCGACCGTCGCGTGTATCACTGCGTTCTCTGGTTTTCGTATTCACCTTGCTTGGTTGTTGCTGTTGTTAAGTGTATTTGAGTAATTTGTTAAGTTTCTGTTTGTTATTGTTATTCCTCGTTATTATTTGTTTTGAATCAATCCTGAATATGTCCAGTACAGATACTGCTGACGAGGCTGTAGGCTACTCCCTTAGCCCTCCTGGAAAGCGATCAAAAAAAGATATCTTAGCGTAGACATGAAAGATGTCATACTGAATACATTCAAGATAGAGCGGAAGGAAGACGAAACATCAACTAACCCGAAAATAGCTCTGAAAGTGGCAGATAAAATTGGGGTACGCCAAGCGACAGTGTACAATGTTTTGAACGAACATAAGAAAAAACATGCCTGTTCCAAGCCAATGACGGGTAAAAATCGCAAAAGTATCATAAGATCGTTGGATGACGCTGACAAGCATGCGATTCGGAGGAAAGTGCACGAGTTCTTCTTCAGAAACGAAATTCCGACAGTTGATAAAGTAGTACGGGAGGTTAACGAGGATGCTATGTTACCAAATTTCAAACGTTCGACTATTCAAAAACTTTTGAAACATCTTAATTTCGAATGGAAGAAACGAGGTCGTAACAGCTTACTTATGGATAGAGAAGAAATTGTTCTGTGGGGGAGAGAGTACCTGACCAAAATTAAATCATTCAGGGATCAGCAGAGGAAGATCTATTACCTGGACGAAACCTGGTTTAACGCTGGGCACACTACTCCGAAGGTAGGGGTTGACAAAACTGTGACTTCATCCAGAAGGGCATTTCTAGATGGACTGTCGACCGGATTGAAAAATCCAGCAGGTAAATAGATCGAAGTACTTCACACGGTATCAATTTTTGCGCACAATATCTCTCTATCTTCGTACCTACAAGACGTGCATGTGTGCTTAGCGGATTTTGTCTTTCTAGGCAAAGGAAAAAGGCTCATTATTTGCCACATTGGGGGTGTAGATGGCTTCGTGAATGACGGCTTATGGTCTTTTGAGTCAAAAAAAACCACTGACTACCATGAAGAGATGAATGGGGAAGCATTCGAGAAGTGGTTTTCAGGCATTTTACCACGTCTCGAAGACAATTCTGTGGTTGTTTTGGATAATGTTCCCTATCATTCTCGCAAAATAGAAAAAATCACAACTTCAGCTTCTAGGAAATCAGACATTCAGAGCTGGCTCCGTTCAAAAATATAACTTTCGAGCCTTCCTTACTGAAATTACAACTACTAGATATTGTGAAACAACACAGACTGAGACATGATAAATATGTCATAGATGAAATGGCCAAAGCATACCACAAAACAGTACTCCGTTTGCCGCCTTACCACTGTGAGCTCAACGCCATTGAGCTCATATGGGCAGATGTTAAGAATTTTGTTGCTGCACACAATACAACATTTAAATTTTCTGACATGCAAGAGCTGTTCAGAATTGCTATACAGAGGGTCACACCAGAAAGATGGCAAAAATGTGTGCAGCATGTTCAGGAGAAAGTGGAGGTAGCAATGTGGGAGCTGGACAACATAATTGAGAGACATTTTGAATCCATCATTATAAACATTAATGACGATAGCTCTTCAAGTGAGTCTGAGTAAGTTTCGCGTTTTTGTTTTGTCACAGAATACATATTATGGGAATCCTAGTTATAGTGAAATATTAACTTACAGATAAACTACAGACAATGCAAGTCCGAAGTGCACCTTGAAAATCTATTTTCAATTGATTGAACAGCCTTATATTTATTCCATGTACAAAAGTGTCATCTCTACCCCTCGTTGACTACAGATTCATTGTGCATAGTGAGCAACTGGTTACCTCTGGTGTGTATTTCTCCATGTTGTCTAGTTTGAAAAATCTGTAGAAAAACTTAGCACCCCTTCAAGAATAAAAATTTGATTTTGCGACACCCTTAACTATAACTACTTCACTATATTAGATAATTTCGTTAAATACTGTCATCTTTGTACATGCAGCTAAAGACCACAGATGAAAAGGTTCGTTTTTTCAAAATTTAAGAAAAAATTCAATATCTCAAGAACGGTGACACTTTTATATAGGTAAGTTTTTGTTATTTGGGAGGTCAATCCAAAGCCTACCTTCTCCTTAAGGTTCTCGTGGTACTTATTGGACACCTTGTATATATATATAGCATAAAATATTAAACATTGTAATATCTTGATAATTTATAGTCAACATAAAATATAGATTCAAGTTAAAAAAATACACTGTAAAAAAATTATTATGCAAATAAGAATGAATTTGTGGAATTTGTGTGCGTGGTAGCTTCTGGATTGTAAATGTTGTTGTTGTTTTTGAACAATAACATGGGTACCCACGGGGCAGAGACAGGAAGACCACGGCTTCTCCTGATAATCCGCTTGGATCTTAGAATTTGTATATTTAGCATGCTTTTGTGTACAACTTTCAGCATTTTTTAGGATTTGATCCCCTGAGAAAATATGCTACCTCTGCTCTTCAGAAAGTTTTGAGGGCAGATAATTTCACAAAAAGTTCTCTTGATGATGATCAGTACCCCTGAGAAAAATTCCTGTGGGTACCCATGGACAATAATAGTATTGTAATAATAAGAAAAGACATCTGTGAAATGTAGTAACATATCTACACAATTCAATTTTTTTTACTAATTTTTGATTCATGCAGGTGCCAACAAAGGCAGGGGAATGAAAACATATGGACCATAATGATGTTAATACTGATTTGTTTGTAGAAAAATGTATGAGATTCATATAATAAATATATATTAACGTATTTGCAAAATATGCTTTTTTTCTGAAGCTTTCCAGATTTCTAAGTAGATATGAGTGATCTGATAACAGCTTATGTTATTGACATTGCTATTTTAACATACAACACTTATTCGTTAAGCACAAAATGTTAATGACACCCACAATCTGGCAACCATGGCGCATCCTCAAAAAATGACGGCTGACAACCACATATGACAGCTGTGTTGCCATTGAATAGCACAGAATTAAATTAAACATTCTTGAGTGTAGGCTTTGTTTCTACTGTTCCGTGTCAGCGCTTTATTTTGAGGTTTTGTCTGGCTAATATCTCTTTGCTTCAAATAAATTATTCATGCTATCCTGGTTTTGGTATATTCCTCATTCAATCTGTTTTATCATCCTGAAATTTGGTTATTGGACACTGTGCTGACATATAATACTGAACCGATCTCAAAAAGTTGACATCATAATCAAATCCTAACGGAAGCTTCAATCCAATTTCTGTTACAGTTATTCAAGTTTCTGTAAATGTAGCAAAAAAAAATATAAAAGTACTGTAATGCTGCAGATGAAGAATTAAGTATGGAAATAGTAAATACAGCCTACTCTAGTTGTTTTGCTTATAGAAACGAGCATTCAGTTATTTTCTTTGAAGAGTGAATTGGACAATTAAGAAATGATTAAGATAATCCATAGTTCTCTGGTGAAACTTTCAAATGTACATTACTATAAACTTGTATGATGAAAGTATTTCTCAGTGGATAATTCAAAATTTATTTAACAAATAAATCAATAACATCAAAAGAATCAAAGATGCAACAAGTGAAATACAGATCTGTTACTTCAAATGAAAAACTGCACTGATAAAAGTTAATGTGCTGAAAAATTATGTGGTAATTTAAGAGTATTGTGCATTAAGAAATCACAGACATTGCATTGTAAGAAATAAAATGTGGAATGAAATAGTGTTTGCACTCTTCCTAGCTAGCTATAAATAACTTGCAATATCTGCAAATATCTTTTCCACAACATTTTGGCTATTTTGATCAAGGTAAACCACATCTTTCACAGCATCCCTCACTGCGGCAAGATGCTTCTCATGTTCAGGCCAAACACACTGTTCAAAGTATCCGGGGCAATCTGGGGGGTCATACACTCTCATTATCCGCCTTTTGAAACACTCTTCCTTGTCCAATAAAAAGTAGTATTTCACGTCACACAGGTCCTCCAGTGGTTTGTAATTAAATAGGCAGAAACCCTCCACAATGATGATCTTTATCTTCACTTCGCTCACTCTCTTGTGGATGAAGGTCTGAACATGTTTCATGTTCATTTTATTTAGTGAATCTCTCTTCACCCCATTCTTCAAAGATTTACTGTTGCCAATATAACTTAGTACATCTTTGTGCATTTGCTCCAAATCCAAGCTGGACAAAATGTCAAAGTTAATGTGGTTCAGTTCAGGTATCCAGGTATGTCTTGTATCACTTGGGTCAAGAAAATAGTCATCTACAGTAAACAGCTTGCTGTTTGGAATTGATTTGTGTAACTGCGTTGCTACAGTGGTTTTTCCGCCACATGTTACCCCACATATTCCGATAATAAAATATTTTTCATTTGCCTCGTAGTTCATCGTAGCGCACTATACACAATAATGGAGTTTCCTGGCTACCTGGGACCAACGGATTGTGTGCTATTCATTATTATTCCACCAGCTACTGATTAGAAGTTTGTTGCACAATACTTAAACTGTACTTACAGTTTTGTGTATTTTTATTCATTTGCAAACATGTGGTCATGTGGTTTGTCGAACTTGCACAGAACACAGAACGACAGAACTAAAAACTAGACGGAAATATGTACAAGTTAACGTTATGTAGAGTCAGGAGGCTCTAACTGGCAGAAAAGCAAATCTGTTTAACAAAAAATGCCACAGATAGATTATACAGTTATGAAAATTATATAAAAAAAGTCAGTGTAAAGAAATAAAGAATAAATCATAGCTTAAGATGTTCAGATTGTTAACGAAGTGCTAATCGAGGTATTTTGTGTTTGTGAATGGATGCAGGATCATATTTATGTCACCGCATCTCTTATTAAAGGATTTGAATGTGAAGTTGCACGTTCGTAACTTTTGCTTGCAATTTGTTTAATGAATTGAGACAAGAAAGGAATATCCAGGACATGATGAATGGTCGCGTTAGATACTTACCAATCTTGTTTTGTATCACTTGCAATTTTGTAATGTGGGTCTTGGCAGCAAAGCACCAAGCTGCACATGCGTAGGTTAAAGTTGGACGTATAATCGATTTGTATAATACTAGTTTATTAGTTAAGCTCAGTTTTGTAGTACTCTTGAGCATGGGGTATAAATTACGAAATGTAATTATAGCCTTTGTTCTAATCGATTCTACATGAGATTTCCAAGTTAGACTTGCATCGATTGTTAGTCCTAAATATTTTGCTTGATATGCCCATGGAATTCTTTGGTTACAAATAATTATTTCGGCTGATAATGATTGTCGTCTTTTAATCACTAAAATTGCCTGGGTTTTCCCAACGTTCAATCTAATTCTCCAACGGAGACACCAATTCTGAAGCTGCTCTACATCCTCTTGCAGTCGGTCTCCAATTTCTTGATTGGAGACCGACCTAGTTATCAGTGCTGTGTCATCAGCATACAGTAAGTATGTCTATGTGATGTATGTGAGGAATATCTGCAGTGTATATAATGTATAGTGTCGGAGCCAGAACAGTACCTTGTGGAACACCTGCTTGGATACCTCTTAAAGAGGAAAGTGATGTTTCTATTTTAATTCTGAATTTCCTGCCCTCACGAAAAGACTTCAGCAGTTTCACTAACCAAAATGGACATTGAAATTCAGTTAGCTTATAAATTAAACCCTGATGCCAGACCTTATCGGATGCTTTGGCAGTACAATACCTGAGTTCTGATTATTGACAAACCAACTAGTAATCTTTTCTATCAGCCTTACTGCCTGAAGCTCTGTACGCTCTTTGCGGAACCCAAATTGTTGGTCAGGTAGTCCCTGCTTTTCCAAAAGAAAATCTTGTAACCGCACTGATATCACTTTTTCAACAATTTTGCTTACTATAGACAGGAGGCTAATAGGTCTGTAGTCTTGAGGAGAGATAGAATTATTTTTCTTAGGAATAAGTATTACATGAGCTACTTTCCAATGATCTGGAAAGTATTGTAGTCTGAGAATTGCATTGACAATACTTAACAGGTATTCTAAAGCTCCAGTCTGTAAAAGTTTTAAGGCCTTCACTGTAATATAATCATCTCTAGGAGCTTTTCATAATTTGGTGTGTTTGATATATCCTATCAACTCGTCCAAAGTACAGGGAGGAATTTGGACTGAGGTTTGACTGTCTCTCTGGACCTGACAAAGTAATTTTGAATGGATTCTTCTATACGGATAGTATTTGTAGGATCAAGGTCTTCATTTAGTGAAAAATGATTTGACAAGGATTCCGCAAAGATTTCAGCTTTTTCTTTCTCTAAACAAGACCATTTGGACCGTTTATAGGAGGAAGCTTTTGTTTTGTGCCGTGCCTAAGTGATTTAGCAACTCTCCAGAACGACAGGCCAGACTGTAACATGCCCTCCAGGAAGTTATTCCACTGATCGTTTTTGTGCTCAAATATAGCATTTCTGGCACAATGAACAAGGTTGTTCGCTATTCTGATATCATCAGGGTGTCTAGTTGTTTTAACTTTTTTGATTTCACGGCGTTCTTTGCCGATAAGATCAGCAATGACTGATGGTAAATGTGGTCTAAATTGTTTATTGGTCGTAATAGTGGCTTCTTGAATGGCAGATTGTACCGAATTTGTCCAATGAACAAGCTACGAATCCACATCGGTAACGGATGCTATGATTGGACTTGCAGGAAAATTGGATGTATGTGTTTTGAATTTTTCCCAATCTATTCTCTGGACTAGAGCGTGCTCATTTTCAATTTTTTTGTCCCTACTTCAAGAATTAAAGGCAGCTGTATACTCTGAAGATCATGTGATATTTTTGTTTCAATGTTATAAGTGGAGTTCCTGGATATTGCAAAATCGATAATGTCTGGCAGAAATTCATTATTATAAGGGTAGTGAGTAGGTTCCGTCGTACTAAGTATGAGGAAGTCTCGAATTAAAGATAAGTTGTGGAGGTTTACCCCACCAGCGTTATTTACACGAGAATTCCAAGTTTGATGTTTACAGTTATAATCACCAACAGCTAAGATTGTACCTGTATAATCTAAAAGAGAATCAATGTCACTTTCCAATATGTGGACCACTTCTAACATAAATAGAAGACATTTTGAATTTAGAACCATCTCTCATATTAATCACTATAGAAGACACTTCAATGGATTCCATTTCTGAACTTCTGTAGTAGTCAATATTTATTTTTATCAATACAGCAGTACCCCCACCTCTACCAGTTAGTAGAGCGCAGCGAATTACATCAAAATCTGGAATTTTAAAATTATCGCCTGAATTTAAATGAGTCTCTTGTAAAGCTGGCAACGGACGGTGAGCGATAATATAATATATATTATAGTCGTACAATACGCTATAATATTATATTATATTATGACTGCAACGGATGACAGAATATACAGGGTGTTCCTTAATGATATGCGAATATTTAAGGGTGTGAATCTACATGAAAAGTTAATGTTAGTTTGCTTTATAAACTATAGTCCAAAAATGTTTCCTTACAAAAACTCGGAGTGTTGAGGTTTTAGGAAAAAAAATGGAAATTAATTAATATTTTCAAAACCGCTTCAGATATTTCACTGACATTTAGTACGTCGTGAAAGTTGATAAAGTTGCAAAAATAAGTTTTAGCTTTAACAGTGGCGTGCGTGCGGGTATTGACTCCGATATTTTTTAAGAAAAAAATGGTACGCAAATAATTTTTTGCCAAATAAAAATTATTTTTGAATTCCCCGTTCAGCTTAAAACAAATGATCTCTCTTGAATTGTTTACCTTCGATGCGCCATTATTGAGTAAAAAAATAAAAACCGTTCTATTGTCCGAGAAAATTAATGTAATAATTGAAGAATGCAATTTAGTTGCTCTGGAAGATGTCACTGGCTTTTGACATCTGAAAATCTTTGTTATTCAAATCTGTTCGCTGTGACATATTTTTCATCATTTAGTGCTTACAATCTTATTAATAATAGTGAATTATTCAAACGCAGAAATGGTGAAAATGCATTACGTATATGGCCTTGTCGATGGTAATGGTGAGCAAGCCCGACGGATTTATCACCAGAGATAACCAGATCGTGCTTTGTTAGATAGTCGAACCTTTTCTAATATTCATCGTCGTCTTGTTGAAACTGGTTCTGTCCTAAAGGAACATCTGAAGGTAGACCTCTAAGTGTGAGAACACCTTAAATTAAGGAAGCAGTGCTGCACGAAGTCGAAGAACATCCTGAAACGAGTACGAGGAAGATCGCTAGACACTTAAATATTTGCCACAAAATTGTTTGGAGAATTTTAGTGGATTCCTTGTGATATCCTTACCATAATTTAAGAGTACAGGCATTACTTCCCATTGATTTTCCAAGGCGTGTGACCTTTTGTCAGTGGTATCTTCAAAAATTACACAAAATCCGCAATTTGAATCAATGATTCTGTTCACGGACTAACCTAATTTTTCTCCAACTACAATTCAGAATTTCCTCAATTATCATTTGTGTGCAGAAGAAAATCCCCATGCCGTAACCGAAACCGATTTCTCTGCCGGGACGACTTGACGGACAGACTTACCTCAATTTTCTTCAACAACAGTTGCCTTTGCTACTTGATGGTGTTTCGTTAGTAATAAGAAACAATATGTGGTACATGCATGATGGTGCACCAGCGCATTTCAGTGTAGCGGTCCGTAATTGTTTACAAACTGTTTATCCAAATCGTTGGATTGGCCGCGGTGGGCCCCAAGAATGGCTACCAAGGTCGCCAGACCTCAACAGCTTAGATTTCTTTTTGCGGGGCTATCTTAAGACACTAGTGTACACCAGTCCCATTAACACTGTGGACGAATTAAGAGAAGGAATAGTTGCAGCTTGTGATAGAATAAAAAACACTCCAGGGATATTTCAACGAGTGTGCAATTCCATGAGAAGGAGGGCACAAGCATGCATACTAAGTGAAGGGGGCCATTTTCAACAATTTTTGTAATCATTTCGTTGGTTTTAATGTTATGTTTATGTTGTCAGTTGTTGTTGTTCATTACCCTTAATGTGTTTAATTTTTCCAATTAAATTAATAATAATTTTGCAAGTTAGACAATAAAACGGTTTTTATTTTTTCACTCAATAATCGCACATCAAAGGAAAACAATTCAAGAGAGATTATTTGTTTTAAATTGAACGGGGAAATCAAAAATAAGTTTTATTTGGCAAAAAACCATTGGCGTACCTATTTTTTTCTTAAAAAATATCGAAGTCAATACCCGTAAGCACGCCACTGTTAAAGCTAAAAATTATTTTTGCATTGAAAAATTTGCAAAATTATTAACTTTCACTACGTACTAGATATCAGTGAAATATCTGAAGCGGTTCTGAAAATATTAATTAATCTCCATTTTTTTCCTAAAACTTCAACACCCCGAGTTTTTGTAAGGAAACATTTTTGGACCAAAGTTTATAAAGCAAACTAACATTAATTTTTCATGTAGATTCACACCCTTAAATATTCGCATATCATTAAGGAACACCCTGTATATTTTCATATCATTCTAAGTTTTGCCGACTTCTTAGTATTTCTGTGAGTAGGCTGATCTGCTGATCTGTGCTGAACACAGTGTATTTAATTAACCAGTGTTTCATTATTTAATTGTGGTGTTCATTCAAAATGTCTAAGATGCTTAATGACTTGCTAGTACTAGACACAATCGACAGCTCATCAGAAGATGAAGCAAATGCCGAAAACGATTACCTCTCAGCAGTGATTGCTTCTAATCAAAAAGAAAACCCTAGATACTGGTTATCTAACCAAATCAAGTTTCGGAAGGAACGAGGAGAATTTACACTGTTCAAAGTGATGAAAAATTCGCTAATTATTTCCGAATGGATAGAAAATTTTTTTATGAATTGCATGATATGATAAAAACGACATAACGAAGAAAAACACAAATATGAGGGAGAGCATTACTTCGTTAGAGCGATTAGCAGTTACTTTAAGGTACATATGTATGAATAGTAGTCTCCAAATGGCAAATCGAAGGGTGATTGCGAGAATGAAAAACAAAAGAGTTTAGGTAGAACTCTATTGAAAACTAAAAATTACATCTCTTTGTATGTTGTTCCGTCAAGTATGTAAGATCGTAGGTTATTACTAGACTGAGAGTATTGGTCATTTGAAGATGAGTCCTCATCCTCAGTCGGTATCAGTAGTGGGGCTGAAGGGGACCTGCTTGGTGTATGGTCTGCATAATACGCTATACCGGAAGTATTTGAGTCTGAAGAACATGGGAGGGAAATACAATACACAGGGTGACTTCGAAGTTGAGTCATTTATTTTAACAGTGAGTAGATCTGATCAAAAGAAATGTTTTTTTCCTTTACCATTTTTCTGGTAAAATTAAAGTAACAAAGTTATAGCCCTTTGGAAGTTTGAGTACCGCCCTATCTCAATAATAATATTATGTGCTCGTGTTTGGCGACAACGGATATAATTCGCCTTATCGGTTCATCGCATCGGAAACAAAAAAGCGAAAGAATTTGGAACGATGTTTTTACAATTATTTCATTCAGTTGTATACAGTCAGTGTCAGTCGGTAGTGGATAGTGGTGTCTGTTGCGTGGCTCAAACGAAATAAAAAATGGCACATGTTTATGCGGATCGGTTTCCCAATCGAGTGCAACCAACCCCTCGTGCCTTTGTTAATGTAGTACAACGGGTTCGTGAATCATTTGACTTAAGACCTCACATATGGACGGCATGCCGGTGCTCCAAGACCTCACAATCAAATACAGGTCCGCACTGAAATACTTGTCGGGAGGATACTTTTTATAAAACAAGGTAAAAAATTTTTTTAATTTTTTTTTTATTTTTACACACATATTTTGGTTTATCTTCCTTCTACAATCATTATCTGAAAATTAATGACTCAACTTCAACCCTGTATATGGCTCGGGTGGCGTAAATGTAAAATGTAGTTCACAGTCTAAAATCCCTCAAACTCTTTTGGGCATTTCTACTTATAGTAGGGGGGGCCACGATGCTAAATGGGGAGTCACTCAAAAAAATCTACCTTAGCTTATATGTATATGATAGAGGTGCTCAAGAAGAGTACAAGGTATGCACCATATGTTAATCTGCCGGGCTTGATTAAATTTCAAAATCCCCTCTTGGGCTCCCCTACTATTAGCTTTCAAACTACCTATTTATATAAAAATAAATATGTACAAGTTGAATACATACCGTCGGATAAACCGCAATCAGTGATGCTAGTCCTCCAAACTGCTTCTTAAATCTCATTATTTTTATACTCGTTCGAGTCTACCTTCCATAAACATGGATGTTTTCGTACACTTTCAATAAAATACTCCATTTAGTCTATTGCGAATTCCGAAGTGCAAGAACAAATTTAATAACAAAGTGGCAATACCGCGCCAAGCCGGCCGCCAGCAAGAGCGGTTCGTGGGCATTTACGGGTGACGCGACGCAAGGGGAGGATAGATATAGCGCGATATAGGGCTATAGGGCAGAATATCGCTCGGTAAGCATATACCGACAGATACGTAAAATATCACTGGGATATAAATATATCTTATAGCGTCCGTGGGTGGCGGCTCAATACGTTTACACATGGAGCGATATTTCTGTAATATGCAGGATATAATATATATTATACGAGGGCCGTTTGATAAGTCAGTGACTTTTTTAATTTCCCGCGCAGTACCTTTGAATGCAACACTGCTGCCGTCAACTGCCATCTTTTATATAACAACTGCCAACATTTGAACAACCCATAATCAAATCCAAGCGAATAACCAAAATTTCTATATTATGTACTGCGGTTATAATATGGTAACAAGATGACACACGGGTTGATGACGTCAGTTGTTCGAATCGCTTGAACGCGTTGGTTTTAACCGCGGTTTTGTTGCAAGTTGTTTATTTTAGAAACGCCCGTATATAATTTCTGATTATTTTTATTATCACTTAATAATCGGTGCTTTTTCGTGTACAACACATTCTCTAAACTTTTTCACATGTCAAAGAAAATATTTATCGATTTAGCAGAAGTGATAGGAAAACACGAAAAAAGATATTAACATCAAAACCGCGCATACAGGTGGACATCATCCAGTGAGTTTATATGGCCATATTTTAATATTCTTATGGTATATGGCTACACAGGATACTTTGTTAAGCATAAGAACTAGATTTAAAGTGTCCCCAACAACCGTAATGATTATAACTAATAAGATGTTCCACTTTATGCTAAAACTGAAGTCAGCTTGTATCAAGTTTCCCAAAAATGAAGCTGAAGTACAATAAAAATATCTAATACCCGACAAATTTCTAACTTGTCACATTTCAAATAATAACCAGAAATATAAAACTACTCCTGAGTTGGGTAAATACCACAATTTTACGGTGATAACTATGACATATAACAGCTGATTCATGACTTCACGGATCTTATAACCAAACTGATAACCACACTCGCTTGAACGGATCGGTAATAGCAATAAAAAATGGCTGGGTGGTAAGAAATTTGGGTCGAATGAAGAGGTCATCATTAAAATAAACGCATATTTTGGGAGCCTTGATAAAAACTACTATTCGGAAGGAATTAAGAAATTGGAAAAACGCTGGACTAAATGTATCGAGCTAAAAGGAGATTATTTTGAGAAATAAAATGCTTATTTGCCGAAAAACATTTTTTTTATTTAGAAAGTCACTGCCTTATCAAACAGCCCTCGTATTATCGCTCACCGTCCGTTGAGAGCTTAAAAGAGTGCAATGTCTATATTTAACTCAATCAATGTGACTGCTAATTCGTGTTTTTGTAGATTTCTTTTATGCCATCTGCGTTCTAAGAAAGAATGTTAAGGAATTCACGTTGTCTCTTATGACTATTATTCATTTATAGTAGGAAGCGAATATGAGGACAACCGGATGAGTTTTTGTAATGTTTGTGTTGCCTCCATTATAGGCTTGAAAATTTGTTGGGATTGCAGCTATAGCCGCCGTCTATTTGGTTAGAACTTCTCTTTTGTTCAACTACTGATGAAGACGCCGCTTCGCTGGCATATTAGAGGTTCCTTTGGACAAACTTTTCCTTTCTCTCTTGCAGAATTTTTATGTGCCTTTTAGGGACAAACTTGCAAACTGTGCTGTTCGCACATTTTTAGAATATTCTTTTCTTTTTGGACATAGGTGAGTAAAATGTTCCTGAGCACACTTTACGCATCTTGGTTTAGCAGTGCAGTAACTTTGGGCGTGGCCATATCGCTGACAACTATGGTACTGCCCAATCATACCGGTATTTTTCTGAGTTTCAACGGCAACTGATAGACCAAAGAGAATTGATTCGTTGAAAATTTGTTTGTTGGATTCTGATTTTGGCAGTACCTCGCATACTAGCGGCATGGGTACGCCACCTTTCTTTTTTAGTCTGACTAAGTCTAGAGGAGAGTACCCAAGGCTTTCTATTTCATGTTTAATTTCGCTATCCAAAAAGTGAATTGGTACACCACGTATGATAGCATGGATATTTCTTTCTTCAGGCAATGCAAAAGTGTGAGGTGGAAAATTATGGTCATTGAAAATGTCGATGATCTTTCGGTAATCATCCACAGTTTTTGGAACGATTCTTATTCCGCTATCGATATTGATAGCACGTTGGAATTCGACACTAGAATTTTTAAATAGATTGAGTGTATTAACCCATTTTTCAAAGGACTGCGGAGAATAACAGGGCTAACATGTTTAAATTGATTTGGATTGAATGACGTCGATGGCTGGCTCAAACTAGTAGAAAGATGAGAATTTGAAGGATTGGCAGAAATAGAAGAGGTAGAAGGTTGATCAGATAGAGGAGTTATAGGATTTGGTATATTGACGATTTTTGAATCGTTTGACATTTGGATTGCCATTCTTCTATTTTTATTTTTTCTCGATCTTCTACCAGGTCGAACCTCAGTAAAATAATCTTCACCCCGCTGATATTCTGAAGCGTCCTGGTATTAGCAGTCCGTCCATCGTCGGAAATATCATCTGAAGAAAATTCCAAGACCGACTGTATCTTTCTTTTCTGGTCTTTCTTCTGATCGTTGATGAATGAAGATTTTTGTTCTCGTATTGTCTTCACTGTATTGGTTAATTTCATGATTTGTGTCATTAGTTCTGCATTTTTCTTATTTAATTCCTCAATTTGAGCGTCTTTGGAAAGGAGCATTTTGACCATTTCGTCCATCTCCTGTTTGGGTCCATCTGGCTGTTGTAGACCACGGGTCTCGCTGTTGTTGGGCGTAGCACTACGACTACGCCCACTCTCGTTCTCATTCATGGTGGTGATCCTCGGTTTCTTATCTTTTTCGATTTCTTCTTTCGAAAATTAGACTGTAACTTTGACAGCAGAGTGTCAGATTGTCTAAGGCCCGTATCGTCAGTCGTCCCTACAATTGTAGGGCGCGTTTATGGCCTCCTTGATTGTCACACTCTTTTCTCTCCTTCAAAAATTTCTAGATTACACTCGTCCCGTGTCAGCGTCAGCGCTCTCCTATTGTTAAGATATACTCTTTTTAAATTGTAGGAAATTTCAGGCTGATAAAACATGATATAACTCAAAAGCAAGCACAATTTGAATCAAATAGATGTTTGTGACATAACCTCAAAATAGAGTTCTGACACGGAGAAGTAGAAAACTATGACAATCAAGGAGGCCATAAAGGCGCCCTACAATAATTGTAGGGACGACTGACGATACGGGCCTTATGCCCCATTTTGACTGTGCTATTCTCTAGTGAGCCTCCATAACGTTCCGTGTCATATGGTTATCCGAGTCGGAGGTCGGAGAGTCTCATTCTAACCTTTACTCAGTCTTATGTGTTTTGTGCCTTTACTTATCATTTGTCAAAACGAAGTTTGATGTTTGATGATTTAATTTCCATATTTTGTACATTTTGTAATTTATAACATGTCATCCGTAAAATTTAGTGAAAATGCTTACTGCAAAATGATTATGCATGGTGTAAAGTATCCACACTGTTCTGTAAATGGCCTGTTGCTCGGTAAGTCCTCGAGTAGCAAGGCGAAGGAAGTGGAATTTGTAGAGGCAATACCCCTTTTCCACATTAATATTAACCTGATACCGATGGCCGAAATAGCATTGATGCAGGTAATACATAGATAAATTCAAGGTGTATCCGAATTATAATTTTTTTCTGTTCTGCAGGTTGATACCTATGCTTCAAATAAGGGACTAGTGATTTCTGGTTACTATGTAGCCCCTGAGATTGCGAAGGAAGCAACGTTTGATAAGATTTCCAACAATAGGATTTTAGAAAAAGTAGCTGTAAACTACAGGGATCCCATTGCAGTAATTGTGAGTACTTGAAGACTTCTTTAATTAACATATTCCATCAAAAAAGTCCAATCCAGTTGAAGCATTGACTGCGCGAAAATAGTGTCATTGCCGATCGTTTATGCTCATAAATAATACCCGTTTGTAGACCCCTAGAACTTGTCTGGTTTCTGGGCCACCAGACCTGACAGACTGACGACAGACACTGACATTACAGTGACTATGACCTAAAGGCTAAGGTCCTCTGGACTGCCTTGAGAAGCAACGATGAGTAGTAGGCCACCATTTGTAGGTGTTCTCAGGGGATTATATGATTTCCTTTTTCCATCAGTAAGAAAGTCTAAGAATACAGAATCTTAAGAATAATTGCAAGGGTGATTGAAGGGTAATTGTAGCTTGGAAAGTCATGTTTAAGAAAAGGAAATTTTCTTTATAAGGAAAATCAAGTGAGGATGGAACTTGTTTATAAACATATAAATACAGCATAACATACAAATATAACAAGTCATTTTTTAGGTAAACTCTACAATTAAGGATGTTCAAACAGGTAAAGTAAGCCTGAAAGTTGCAAGTTATTCAGATGGAAACTACAAGCATTCAGACCAAATTGTTATTCCTGAAAAGGCAATCAATATATGTGCAAACACTTTGGATAATAACTTCTATAAGAAGTTGGTGGACTTTGATAACCATTTGGATAATATTAGCTTAGACTGGAGTAATTCAAAGTTAGGAGCAGAGCTGGAAAATTTAGTATAACATTCATTTAATTTTAATTTATATTAATATTTCAAGGAATAAACACATACAGCGTATGTAACAATTGGTGCCTGTGAGGCTCTCTCTTTAAAAGCATTACAAGCACTAGCATTATTGCAATAGGTTATAATATTATTTATTTGTTGTATTTCTTGATCACATTCCCATTATATTGGTTGTTAACAGTGTAACATTATCATTTATCATCCATGGAAAAATTAATTATAATTTAATACCTTAAAATAAATTTAAGAAACAGATTTGCAGTTTGCAGGAGAACATGGCATTGGCAAAATATGCAAATGAGTTGTGTTAGTATTTCACCAAGATTCAATTGTTCATTCAGATTTTGTTACCTTTTTATATCCATTTTATTAGGATTATGTATATATTGTTATAGTAATAAATGCTGGTTGGATTGGCTGCAAAAAGATATTATTTTGTTTCCCCACAAGAGGTACGCATAACATCGAAAAACATGCAAAAAACGAAGGTCTTCATCTACATAAGTGTGACAATGTAATTGTAATGGGCAGAACGAATGAATTATGAAATTGGAGGCATATCGGCCACCGTGAGAAGCTGGCGCATAGGCCACTTTGACGGGCCCTTATGCATCTCTACATTCCCTAGACCTCATGCCTCACCCTTCTACCAAAGTTGGATATGGCCTTGAGTCCCAGCTCCTTAACGTTCTGGGGGTCCAAAGTGATGGACCCCAGTATAGTCTGCCTGCGTCACAGAACGTGCGCCGAGGTCTCTACAGCGCAGCGCTCACACAAGGGATCCAGTAACCTTAGGTTTTCTATGTCCAACGATAAGCAAAAGCGTCCATCCTTAGTGCTGGGCCCTACGATGAGCGTCCGCCGTTTATCGCAATGTGCCTCGGTACCCACACAAACAATAAGACGCCACCTCACTCCGACATGCCTCACTGCCCTAAAGGACGCCCAATAAGTATGCATAGGATTCAGGGCGTATTTATCTGGAATCTCTCCAACAGTCTTAAACAGTATATACCTGTGATCCGATAGAGAGGGTGTTAGAGAAACTTTCCAGTCTCTAGTCTGCTGACCTAACTTAAGCGTTCCCAGTGTTACTTCGATAACCTCTTCTCTGACAGTGTTAATGAAAGTAATAATAATATTCTTTATTGCCAGCAAAATTTTGCAAGAAAAACAATAGCAACGCCAAAGAAAAGCAAAAATGTAGTACAATTCCATAGAGGGAAATATAAACAACACCCAGGCACCATATGTGGGTAACCAGCCAAAATTAAATTTTGTTGTATACGTATGTTTACAATATTAAACACTGTTAAAGTAACAAACACAAGTCCATATGTTACAAATTAATTTAAAATGAAATGATGGAGCTCACATGTTAAAATCAAAGCTGTACAAACATCTGTCCAGCAAAAACATTTTCACCACTCTTTTGAACCTAATAGGGATGCTCTCAGATTTTATATCGATAGGAAGCATATTAAAAGTTTTACCAGCCATGTATAATGGAGCCCTCTTGAAACATGTGGACGAATGTGCAAGCACACTCAGATTGTCTCTGCCTCTGTTCACAACGGTCATACTTTCAGCATAACAATGTGCGTTACTATTAAAAAGATACATATGCTTTTTAATAGATAAAACAGGTGACAAAAAATAAATAAAATGTTCCCGATATGATGTTCGAGGATGATGTCTCAAAATGCACCTCAGGATGCGCTATAAAAACTGCCATGGCACCCCGCGAAGAGCCCCAGAATATTATACAATAAGCTAACAATGACTGTACAGATGCATAATAAATTTGGTGAAACCTCATTTCGCGGTCGCCGCACCAACGGACAGAAGCTGTGGAGTTTAACAATCAAAACAGATGTTTGACAATCCCAATTCAGACCCGAATCCAGGTAAATGCCCAGAGACTTTATATCGGTAATCTCTGGTATCGATCCGCTATCGCAACGAACCAACAGCTCACCCCTGGCAGATGATTTACTGACAAGTCCAGTTTTATCAGCATTCAATCTTAATGCAGAATCCTTGCACCAATCCTGCATAGTCCCCACTGCCTAACCCCATTCTGGGATATACAAAGCTGCTCCCTACTGTCAAGATATGACTCTATAAGCTATGAACAATACCTTGTATTTCATGTTTAGAAAGAATTATAAGGAGTATTTGATGGTCTATCGTGTCGAAGGCCTTAGACAGATCAAAAAAAAAGATTGATCACTTTTTCATTCTGATCCACATTTTCAACAATAAAAGTGAGAATTTTGTAAATAGTGCGAGTTGTGTGGAATGATTTGGGCGAAAGCCAAATTGGTTTCTTGTTCAAATGTATTTATTGATAAAGTTCATTATCCTTGAATATATGACTCTTTCGAAGACAACAGTGAGACTAGTCGATAATTAGCTATGTCATACACAATCTCATTTTTTGTAAATGGGAACCAGTTTGACCCTCTTTAAAAGTGACAGAAAAATTCGTGACATTCATCTGCTTTAGAACTACCACCGCAATTTCATCCAAACCAGCTGAAAATTCGTTTGGCGAAGTGGCCAAAGTTAGTTTAATTTCTTTGTTGTCAACGGGGAGCAAAAATAAAGTGGGAATCACACTAGCTTGCGGAGAGATATCAAACATTTCCTGCCTTTCAGGAGTTTGTTTGGGATGTTTTATTATTACACCATTATTAAGTTTTAACTCAATGGTACGCTTTAGTTTTTAATTGGTTTCTTTAAAATACTCCATGTAGTTTTTGTCATGTTTTTTGAGTTTAGTATTTTATTTTCATTAAAAGCTATTTTGTAATTCGACAGACATTTCCGGTATTCTTTTCGTTCAATTTTATACTGATTATATAATCTAAGGCTATGTCTAATCTTAGACCAAACATACAAATCGTTTATATAATTAGAATTAGAGTATGCTTTTATCCCATCATTTACCCAGTTTTGTTCTTTGAATTTTAATCGATAGGTACATAATGGAGAAGAAATGTCAAAATAGGGAAATAGGTTAAAGGTTTGATATTTCTCCTCGACCCCAACTGACCCATATACATCATTCCAGGACACGAAGCTCAGCACATCTTTGAAGCGAAAAAACGTAAAAACGTTTCCTTAATTGTGCTACATTGTGTATCAGATATATTGCTAAAAATATTATCAAGCTGGGTGCCCCCAGTGTGACCTATCCTCGTTATGCCTGTCACGTGGGACACTAGTCATAAGCCGTGTCACAGAAAAAGCTCCATCATACTGAACTAAGAAATCTACATTAAAATCCCCGCAAAGCAACAAATATTTGTTTGTGACATACACATAATTTAAAACTTCAAGCACAGATAGAACTAGATCTAAATTCCCTGTAGGTGACCCATATACACAAATCACAATATAATGTTTATTATTTAATATAAATTGGGAAATGCAATTACTCCCAGTGTTAGCCCTTAAACTTTCAACAGTAAGGTCTGAGTGTACAAAAGTTGCTGTGCCTCTACCACAAAATTGTGTTCATGATGAATGGCCGATGGGCATATAATTGTCTAAAACTACAGAGTTTTATATCATTTCGCTGCAGCCAATGCTCTGACACCCAAAAAAAATTTCTGGTTTCTTTTCTGCAAGCAGGACTTTTATTTCCAAAGTTTTGTTGTTTATATTTTGTACGTTCAAATGCATAACAGAAATTCAATGACTCTCAGAGCCCTTGCTGCCAGAATCAGTTTCCCATGTGTTTGGTGGACGCAGGGTACATCAGTTACCCTGCATGACTTCTGTCTAAAAAATGTGTACCCAACCCAAAGTCAAACCTGCCAAATGCAACACCCTTGGGCCAAAAAGCGGTATTATATATCTTGTCTCATGTCTTAAGTTCAGGATTTACACCAACCATAAAGTTCGTTTTTCTACTCTTTTGAGATTTTGGTATACATTGGTTTACCTGTACATATTTCATTAGCAGTAGTACTTGCGTGTTTTACAATATAATCGCTGATTGTATTTTCTGTGATGGTCTCATTAATTTTCGACAGAAAAAGCAAAAATTTTTTTCTTTATTCTCACCGGCAAGATTAAATTCTTCGTCATTACGTTCACCATATTTCAGGGACTACCTTTGTTTTTGATGGTTATATTTTTGTTTACGAGTTTGTTCTCTTTGGAACTCGAAACGACGTCTTGATGTCTTCTAGTTCCGGAGCAGTTGCCACTTCACCGTTGCAGACTTCAGGCCTGATTTCTGTATTGCTGACAGTTTGCCTAGCGTTCACGACCGTCGCCTCACGTTGCTTAGCCGTAATGTTTATGTTTACCTTTTTACTTGGTTGGAATAGGATGATGTACCTGCTTTTTCGTTTTTTGTGTTGGTTAGCCTTTCTTCAAGGGATCTACATTTTTCCTTCCACAATCCAAGGTTTTCGACAATTAGGGCGTTCTTGTCCTGAAGTTCCTTAATAATCTTTAATAAATACTTAGTTTCATTGTCGATGGAGTTCTGTGAATCTTCGTTTTCAGTGGCTTCGTGTTTGCAAGTTTGCTTCTGCTTGCACCATACATGCAGGATGGAAGACATACTGGCAAAACTCGCACTTTACATGATTTAAAACACTTTTACTGCAGTGTTTACAAGTCATATAGGGATATAGGCGGATTTAGAACATCCGGCATCCTTAAGCATCCCACAAACCGGCGCGAAATAATCGCGGCGAAGTATTCGCAACGAAATTCAGAGCGAAATTCGCAATCTGTTTCGCCTGTACTCGGCGTCATCTTGCTTCACTGTGTGCATCAGTAGGCGTGTTACCGACATTCAGAAGCCCAAGGTTCGATGACCCTAGGAACTCCATGAGCAGGTTGTATAATCTATCATTAATATAACCTATGCCATCATGTCATATTTGGGCATATATTCCCAGCGAAAAACAAACAGCCTACTACTGTTAATCTAATTTCAGGATTTTGAGGCTTTCAAAAATAATACTCTAGACAGATACAATAAAAATATAATAACAATTCAGGGATTACACAAATCAAATATCCAATGCTACAAATTGTGCATTCATGCGGGCAAACTTGGGATGCATTTATTGCTGTAAACAATTGCAATCTGATTTTTCGAATGAATCTGCATAAAACATAAACATCACTGTTGAATATATATATATATATATATATATATATATGTCGCAGCCAACTAGCAAAACTAGCCGTTCAATAATCAGCCTAGCCTCTTTACCAAACAGCGCTGTTCAACTAGCGGCCTGAATGTTGTTCAGCCATTTGATCAAACAGCTAGGCAACTGGCTTAAAGCGATAGCGTTTAACTACTTGCCTAGCCTGTTCATTTAAATTTAGTTCTACTTTCTGCCACCTTGTGCCGAAACTCAACTGTCAATATGGCGTCGGCAAACAAATTTGATGGTGTTTTCCAAAGTTTAATGAAAAATAGTACAATGGAACAGTGTTGTGACAATAATAATGTGAATTTAGATGTGACTGACTCAAGCAATTCAATTTTTAAAGCGAATTTCGATCGAAAACTTGTTGAATATGACGAGCAGCATCAAGGTAAGTTTGTTTTGATTCCTTCGTAATTATTCTTTGTTCTATTGTGAAGTATGTAATAAATTAATTACCAAGGGTATATAATTAATGTGGTTGATATTTTATCATTGCAGGATCGCCTAGGAAAGCTTGGACAGCAGAAAGAATTTTGGAGGTTATGAACGACATAAAAAAGCTAAGGTGGCCATGAGTTCTGGACAGCGAAGGACGGCAATGGATTTATTATTGGATGGGCAAATACGACATTATGACAACTGCAAATGAAGATTCTTTAATTTTTAAAAGACTCGGGGCGACTGATCCCACAGTACGCATTTTACCTAGAGAACAGTATTTTGATATCTTGCTAGATGTACATAAATCCTGCGGTCATGGTGGGCGAGATAAAATTTTGTACGACATAAAGAACAGATATTATATTCCTAAGAAAGCAGTAGAAATTTTTGTGTCTTTGTGTCCTATATGTGAAAATAAAAGAAACGCACCAAGAAAAGGTATTGTGACGAAGCCAATCGTCTCACGTGATTTTAATCTAAGAGGACAAGTCGACCTTATGGATTTTCGGTCCTGTCCCGATGGTGAGTTTAAGTGGCTTTTAAATTATCAAGATAATGCAACCAAATTTCTGAATCTACGTCCACTTAAAACAAAAAGGGCTGCTGAGGTAGCTTTTGAGCTGATGAAGATTCTTTTGACATTTGGAGCTCCCTACATTTTACAATCGGACAATGGCCGTGAATTCACTGCAAATGTAATAAAAGAATTAGTTACAATGTGGCCTGAGTGCAAAATTGTTCATGGGAATCCACGTCGTCCCCAAACTCAAGGCAGTGTCGAGAGAAGCAACTAAGACATCGAAAATATGCTGCGAGCATGGATGCATGAAAACAAATCAACAAACTGGTCTGTGGGCTGTTTTTTTGTGCAATATTTCAAAAACAGTTCATTCCATAGAATAACTGTAACATCTCCATATAAAGCTTTATTTGGAAGCGAACCTAAAGCGGGCTTAAATGGACGGAAAATATTGAAAATTTAGAATCAAACTTCACCTGTGCAGTTTGCCATAACAGTGCCACTGAAGCGCACAAGTGTGAGTCTTGCAATAATGTTATACATGGAACATGCGGAATAATGTTGGTTAAAGAGGGTTCTGCTTCCAAATTGGTATGTTTTATGTGTAAAGTTGAATAGGATATAAATTTAGAGAGAGACCAAGCACACAAAGGACTTAAGCGTGCAGCCGAAAAGATGATTGATGCTACCATTAAAAAAATGCCTAAGTTAGATATTGGTAATAGTGTTTTGGTAAGCATCCCCAAAGTGGATCGCGGGCTTTGGACATGAAAAATATTTAAGGTAAAATTGTTGACATAAGAAATGGCGTTCACAAAGTTGGAACTAAGTATGGTACAATTAAAAACTGGTTTTCTCGCCAAGACTTGCAGTACTCAGATACAGAGTATGGCGATGAAATTTCAAAAAACCTTATTTCTTTAAGAGAGGCTGTGGCAAGTCAGTCACCTTTCGGTGGCCAGGGATTCCAAAAATGTAACTGTAAGCTTGCTGTTAATCAACGTCGCAATAATAGATATGCCTGTTCCAAGCACAAAGTTCTTTGCGGGTCCAAATGCCATGGAAGCTTAACTTGTGTTAACAAATAATATTAATGCTTGTGTACTTAAGTTACGTTATTTGATCTCATGATTTCCAAATAACAGTAATATGTTACATTTTAAATATAATAAATAAAGGATCCCTTATGTCAAATGTCCCATCTTTTTTTATTTCTGTCACATGGTCACCCTATCCTACGAATGGCTTAAGCATTTTCTAGCCACTTTATTAAATGGTGTAATAGCCGCTACGGCTGAACATCATTCAGGCCGCTAGTTGAACAGCGCTGTTTGGTAAAGAGGCTAGGCTGTTTATTGAACGGCTAAATAAGCTAGTTGGCTGCGACATATATATGACAATTTTATATATAATCTTTATATTATGTATTATGTGCAGTCAGTTTTAGATTGTTCAATCTTCATATGCAGATAAAAGATAAAATTATAATTATTGTAAGCAACAACTATATAATATGTAGCAAATGTTTGCACGTATTCAAATCATTATTATATACATAGGATTGTTGCCATTTTAAGAGTGAAAAGAGAAATACATATTTTTTGGATAGCATGTTATACACATTGCATATTAGGTCGAATAGATGTACAACTCTTTGAATTCAAAAATAAATCACAGATCATAAACAAAAATTATTACCTGTCCTACCAAGTATATATTTTATAATCAAAAGTTTTCGTTTTATCAGCTATGGCTGTTGATATGTGTTTGACCAAGTGGTGCTTTTATTTGTTTGTATTCCCTGTGAGCAGGTTGGCATATATAAATAAATAATTAAAAGACAGGGTTCTTAGTCCTACTTGGAAAAATGTGTGTTTAAGACTTTGCTTTTAGATATATTTAGATTTGGCACATTTTTGATTATGATCTGTAATTTCATTTGATTTGATGAGAGTTGTAATATTCAAATGCAGTGTAGCCTCATTACAACTAAAGATTAACAGAATATATAAAAATAATGGTTATTTTACTCCATATACCAAAAATTAATCGACATACTGAAGACTAGATTATAAATAGGTAGGTTCTATACCAAGATCATGATTTATTTGGTCTCAAGCATCCGTTATGCATATTGTAAACTTTACCTACATTCTTATCTCATCAAATATGTTCCAATTAAATAATGTTTGTCAAACTAGTTTTATTTATATCCTGCATGACATAATTTCAATATTATCATATCGAAAAACAGATTTGTTTTAAGTTTTGCAATATGCTAGTTATTGGGAAAGAGAAAATTAAGGATTTGGAATACTGTGGTACCAAGAAGTTTTAAAATTTGTCGCGAGGTTGCTTTTGTGAAAACTAAATTTTGAAACTTTTGAGCGAATGCAAATTTTCTTCAATTTGAAAATTATTGTAGTGCATCAATACACGATCCAGTAAATGTTTAGATTTTCCAGTTTATGATATTACTAAACTGATTTTAAACATGATTATATTTGTTGAACGTGTTATAAAATGTTATGGGATATATGTTCAATATTTAAATCTTCTCAGATCATATCTCGGTAAGTTTGAGTATTATTAACTGATGTTCACCTCTGATTAGTATACATAATTTGGCATATGACATAAAATAAACACAAGCGAATGGTTGAAAAGCTCACGAACTCTACGCCATGTAAAAACGAAGAACAAACCAGAAAAAGCAGCATCCTTATAGATATTATTTATCCTACAGCACATGGAGTATAAGTGACACTACTGACATGGCAAAAGTTTTTATAAAAACCTAGGTCGATTTATTCACCGTTTTTAATTCGAATATATCTCAGCAGTTCCATATAAAACTTAAAATCGATTTGTTCAGTTAAAAATATACATACATATGAATTATCATAATGTGAACTATGAGCATCACACAAAACTGAGTCTGCAAAGCATGTCAGGGGCAGGTACAGACACTGTATTAAAGTGACTAACATCTGCTAAATTACAATCGCAAAGTCGTATATGAGATAATATATGGTGGCCCATCCATGTGTGGACGGAATATTACTCATAAACAAATACATTCTGGGAAAATAGAGATACTTCTCCATTTCTGAGAGTGTTGTCTTGCAACCCACGTCTCCATTTTCCTCCTAGCTTTATGCGCGGTTACTCCTAGAGCTGGCTCAGGACCAACGAGCTTGCTGGCTGATCCTGTTTTCGCCAGAGTGTCCGCCGTCTCATTGCCCCTTATCCCAGCGTGCCCCGGTACCCATATTAACGATACCGGATGCCTCGCTGCGAGGCAATCCAGAGCCTCCCTGCATTGCAATACAAGACTCGAAGTAATCTTACATGCACTTAGTGCTTTCATTGCAGCCTGGCTGTCGGATAAGATTGTTATTCTTCTCCTAGGCCCACCCTCCTCCAGAATGTGAGATACACAAGCCAGAATCGCAAAGATTTCCGCCTGGAAAATGGTGGTGTACTCACCGAGAGGCAGAGATAGCCTAGTTCTAGGTCCAGAGACCCCAGCACCTGAGCCCTCTTCGGTGACCGAGCCGTCCGTGTACCAGACCTGCCCGCTCACTTCGTTATGGGATGTTATACATGACATTTGAGGGCACATTTCTAAAATATTGGCCATTATACAGGTTGCCCCAATTTCGACCTACATATCAAAGTTGTGATTTTTCAAATAGAATGCCTCATATTTTATTGCATATTTGGATAAACCAATTGAAAATAAGAAAATTAATTGATATAACATACTGTGGGGTTTTGGTAATTAGCTACTGAGATATAAGGTGTTTTGTCTAGAAAAACCCCCCACTTCGGCAAACCCTCATTCGCCATTTTGAAATTTGAAGTGCTGAATTTTGTACCAAAAAAACTTACGCACCTCAGCTTTTGTCTTATATGTTACGTTTTCGAATTTTATTTTTTGCTCATACAATAACGCAAATTGTAGTTATTCTCAAAAATTTCCAATGCATCACCCTGTATATTTGGATTCAATTTTTTATAAGCTTTTTTTTATACTAGACACATGACGGCTATTTTTTCGGTTATTAGCACGTCTTTTATGGAACGGCTTAATTCACTAAAATATCGCATCATCCTTGGAAACAAATAAATTGTTAATTGGTTACAAACTGTCAAAATTAGCTTTGTGAGCATTATTATTAAAAACGTGTTTGAAAAAATGAATTTTTCTAAAGAAATGGTGAATATAGTGTACGTTTTGGGCGAAGCCCAGTGAAATAGTTTTCTAGCATCTCGCATTATATCTTGGCCTCCTGGATCACCAGATATGACACCGATAGACTTCTTTCTATGGGGCTAGATTAAGCAAGAGGTTTATATATATATATATATATATCCACCATCTACCCCGGAAAATATGAAGGATAGGATTAAGAATGCTTTTCTGAACATAAGCGAACACATACTGAGGGATGTGCAACGGTCATTTATCCAAAGACTACGGCTGTGTATTCAACATGGTGGAGATATTTTCGAGCAGTTTTTATAGATTAGGTCTTGAGTAGTGATAGTGGTTTGTTTATGTTGTTGTTATAGTTGTTTTTCTCTATTACGCTTGAAGCTGATATATACAGTTCTGATTGTTTTTGGTTTTTACGTCAAATCTGTACTCTTAGTGACAATATGGAACTAGCCCACTGTTTGTCTTTTGTTTCCATGGATGATGTGATTTTTTTCCTTAGTTTT